GTTTTCACATGCTCATCAATCTTCATTTCTCCAATAACCATAGCATCTGAAGTTTGCTTTTATTTGAACTTTGTTTTATTCCATCTCTTCATCCCACCTTTCTCCTGGGGTCTTTAGTTAAATTCAGATAGTTTCCTTCATTCAGATGTAATAGTCCGTATATTCTGATAGGTGTTTGTAAAATACTCACTACCCTATGGTCTGTAAAATGCTTACTACCTAATGGTCTGACAATAACATAGACACAAATGTTTGAACCTACTCCCTTGAAACAGGGCTATTTTAAAATCCATGTAAACCACTGCTTTTGAGATAGTTTGCAAATTACCAATAGTTCCATCTAATTTGTTCCTGTAACAATGTTTTCTTGTTAATCATAAAATAGATATTTATATGTGACCTATTATTTCAATTCCATTCAATTATTATTGTAGACCAACCCAATATCAAGTACTCTTCAACTTTGTGAATAATAAATGAACAAGACATGGCCCCAGTGTCAAAGAACTCAATTCAGTCAGTGCAAAGTCAATGACAGAGATAAAAAATTACAACATAAACTTGGTGAATAATGGAATCAAAGTATGTACATGGGAGAAGAAAAATGCTATGGAGGGAGGCAAGGGTTGGAGCCTCCTTCAAAAGCTCACCTTTAAAAATACATATATTGTCCACAAAATGTGCTATGCTATATGCATTATTGACAATGAGAGCTATTCATTTGGAATAGATTACTTCAAGAAATTCCACATGTAATATTGTTGGTATTACCTGGGAAAGGATAATTCCTTAGAAGATATTATATTATCTTGAGATTTTGTGTAATATATATATATATATATATATGTAAAGGAAAATTTATAGGTTCATTAGACAGTTTTTCAAGTATTAGGTCAGGAGGAAATACATTTAGAAAGACCTAGAATGTAGACCAGTATAATGAGAGCATAAGCTAAAAGAGATCAGAACGTATCCAGACCAGATTTATTTAAAACAGGGTTATTACTCACTGTTTCTTCTAAAACTAGGTCACTAATTAATAAGTATTTATTAGAGATATTTTTTCCACTTTGCATTTTTATGACATGGCCTTTGGAGTAAAGTCAAGAAAACAACTTGCTCCTATAAGTGGTAGCTGATATCCCTCCTGCCTTTCCATGCAAGATTGCTTTAGACCATGGTTAACATGTTTATGCCTTCTCTGTTCTCTTTAGACAGGTCAGCAATTCCTACCCTCATTACAGAACAGCTGATGCTAGTTAACTCTCCCTCCCAATCTTTCTTTAATCAACTGCATCTGTTTTCTTTCCTTCTCTATCTTAAAAGATGAGGAAAAATTGAAAATTTCTAAGAGTTTAAAAGAATAAAGTTCAAGATAGACCAAGTAGGACTCAATATTATTTAACTACCAATAAAATTTGGGGCAGCAATTAAACCATAAGTTCATGTTTAATTCTCCTGCATCCTCACTATACAAAGGCAAATAATTTTTATTTCCACACTATTCTCACATTGTATCTTGTATGTAACTACATCTCAACTGTTGCTACAACCTACAATGTTTCCTACTAATTTATCCCAAAAATGTAGGGAGATTCTTGAAAGAGCAGTTTATTAATAATGAAAATGACACACTTTGTACATAAGAAAGAACTTACATGCTTGAGACTTTTTTTTTTAAAGATTTATTTATTTGTGCATACAGAACTGGGGTACAGGCCAGAGGCTCAGGGGCGGCGAAGAGGCTTCACCAGAGACAGAGTGGGGAGCAGAATAGGCAGATCGACAAAGTACACTGCTGAGGGGAGCAGCGGGCGGGTCAGGAGAGGTCTGCCAGGCCATGTGGTCACCTCTGGGGCAGGTGAAATCGAACTCACACAGAAGTGGCTTACACTTCTTAATGCAGTGCTTTAACCAGCCGCACCACCAGGGAGGGCCCATGCATTGAGACTTTTTAATGTTTATTTCTAACTAGTTGGTGTTAAGAAGAACATTTCAAGAAAACACTTCAGTAATATGAAGTTATATGATCCATACTTTAGGTAAAATGTCACTAGAAACAAAATGAAGAACTCTTCATTGTCTAAACTCCATATTAAACAGACTGAGGGAGTGGGAGAGAAGCCAAGATGAGAAATCATTTAATCTAGGTTGCAGCTGTATATGTATGGCTGCGAAGAGTAGTTTAACTTATATCTTATTAAACTGAGTTTTAATAAAAGACATGACTCAAGAAATTTCCAGGCAGGTTCTTTACAACATCGAATATTTTCTGGTACCTTTCTACCTGCACACTTCCAGCCTTCATCTTTTGTAAGACATAATACAATTGATTTGAAGACTGTCCTTCACAACATTTTCCTGCATTCATTACAAACTTGGAAATAGAATCCATGATTCATTCATTACAACTGGATTGTAAATGAGGAAGGCTAGTTCCACCCATTCCTACTTGGAATTATTAAAAATGTTTTATAAAATATTGACCCATATTTTTCTTGGCTATAACATTTCAATTTAATAAAAATCTTATTTTCCAAAATCAGCTGTTTCTTTATGGTACAAAGATACTCTTTTCTCATTTCAAAATGAAAATTCAATTGATGGCCTGAGGTTTGTCAAAGTGTCCACTACCAAAAACCTGAAACTGACACGAATATACCAGCTGCAGGGAGGGAAGAATGCTAAGTGAAATAAGCCAGGAGGAGAAAGATAAATACCTGATGGTGTCAGGAATATGTGGGATATAAAGTAACTAAGCTAGGAGTCATTTAAAGACAAGCTTAAAAACTAAGCTTGACAGCTGACTACAGAAAAGAAACACCAAGGTGGGAGAGGGGGGTAGAATGCAGGAAAAACAATGGACTATGGGTGAGTTGGTAGTGGTTGTACTACAGTGAATTCCTTGATAGGGGTATCCATTATTACCTTAATTAAAAATTAGTTTAAAAATACTAGTTGCTGGCCCTCCCTGGTGGCACAGCAGGTTAAAGCACAGCACTAAGATGTTAAAACCACTTCAGCAAGAGTTTGATCCCTGGCCCTGAAGGTGATCCACGTGGCACCACAGACCTCTCCTGACCACCTGCTGCTCCCCTCAGCAGTGTACTTTGTCAGCCGGCCTGTTTTGTTCTGCTCCCCACTCTATCTCTGGTGAATCCTCTCACTGCCCCTGCAGCTCTGGCCTGTACTCCAGTTCTGTAGGCATGGATACATAAGTCTTAAAAAAAAAAAATAGTAGTTGCCTATAATTCATCAAATGGAAGGCAAGCTTACAAAATAAGCATGTAGATGACTAACTAGTATTACCAAGAGTCTGCCTTTTTAAACCTGGATGCCCATTCATCCCTGCATGTGTTTTATTTCATTAAAATTTTTTTTACTGTTTTATATATTTTTTATATCATTCTTCATTTTTACACAATGTATGCTTTATCATCTCAGGTGTAGTCCCCATAAAATTCCCACCACCATTCACCAATGCACCATCACTGTAGTCCCTTGTGCTCTTCCCACCCGTTGTGATCCGACTTCCTCTTCCCTCCCCTACAGAGTATATGTGGCTTTATAGTTGCCTGTTGATTTGGGGTTTTACTTTATTATATGTTTTTTCCTGATCCCTTATTTGGATCCCCTACATTCCTCCTTTAAGTAAAACCATTCAGTATTTTTCCTTTTTTTTTTTTTCTGGCTTATTCCACAGAGCCTGATCCCTTCTAGCTCCATTCATTTTCTGTGAATGGCATGAGTTTATCTTTTTTAATTGCTGAGTAATATTCCATTGTATGTATATACTAAATCTTCTTGATTCTGTTGGACATTTGGGCTGTTTCCATAGCTTACCTATTGTAAACAGTGCAGCAGTAAACATAGGGATTCATCCCTATATCACTTGATTGGTATCCAATGGAAAGAACATGACATTCTTGTCCTTCCTAATGTCCTTTATCTCTTCAAAGCTACCTGTGTTCCCTGAATTAAAAGTTCATTTAGATTAAGACATCCAAAGAATGGATTCTGGAGACCCTAATCAGTAACAGATTGAATAAATGAGCTCAGTAGCATCCAGTAGGTTGACAGAATCTTTTGTGGCCAGGTCAGGTGTTCAGAGATTTTTCAAGGCATCTTCACCATACAATAGAATTAGAAACACAGATTTCTGAGTTCTTATAGGTGTCAACTTGTCCCTTTTTATCAGAGATGAGCCATGAATGAAGGGGCTATCAAAGCAAAGAAAGTTTAGAGTAAAGGGGAAAAGCCTGCAGTCAGGAACACAGGTGTTATACCGACTCTTCAGCACACACTTCTACAAACATCTATGAATCATTGTGGTTTATTTGCTTTTAAAAGGCATGTCTAGCCTTCATGGAACCATCCATGAAGAAGCAATTTTATGAGTGAAGCAATGAAACCAAGTATCAAAGTCAAATTGTAATCCCATCCACTAAACTCAGTTCTCATAGTGGCTTATTTGCAAATGTATTTCTCTTTTCTTTTTTCTCTTATTCTTTGTTTATTGTAACCTAAGCCTGAGGAACAAAGGTGAAAAATTACAAAGACTTTCCTAAAATACAGGCTGGTGAAAGAAAATGGAAAGAGAATGAAATATAAAATGAACTTGACAGACACAAGAGATAAATTTAATGACATTTGGGTAATTCAAAGCACATAGAAATGTGTCTATAACAGAGATGAAAATGGAAGGATATGTAGAAGTAACGAGGACTTATGACTACAGAAATGTTTCTTATAGAATCTTCCTATGAAAAGTATTTTATAGCATTAGATCACATGTGACATTTATAACAAGAGAGAAACTATAACATAGCTCAGAGATTTCTAAACCAGAATATATAATGCTTAACTTTCTATCTTCTCTATCATTTGATGTTGTTGTGATCTTGAGTAATTTTTTCATTCTCTATGGCTTTCTTTCTTCATTTATAAAAGGTAAATAAGGAACACAACATCAAATCATTATAAGAAATAAGTGAGGTAATGTATATGGTAGGTACTAACTGTAAAGAACTCAATAAATGTTGATCGTCACAACACGTGTCATTATAAACAGAACTTATGCGCTTCCACTAGTGGCACTAATCTAAGGCAACCCATTAAGACCCCAATTAGGGGGCTTACATTTGATGTTCTCTCACAAAAGCTGCAAACTCAGGATCATTGGCATATAGTTCCAAAATTCTTTCTTGAATTTCCTTTAAAGAAAAAGAAAGTCATACATTGCATTAGAAAAACCTCAATAGCCTCATAAAAGTTCTAATTCTTATAGAAAATTGTGGCTTTCTAGACTATCATAACTCTAGATGGAGTTATGTGGGGGGGGGGGGAGGGAAGCCTTTCCAGAGAAATGGGAGATTTGGATACCACATGAACTAATTTGAATAACTCAGGCATGTCTAAGGCAGGAAGGAGGAGGAAAAGAACATTTGCTAATATTGGAACATGAGCCAACCCTTAAATGGAGAGTAAGGTACAGCTCAGAGTGATATACCCTCTGTACACCACATAAAACTGGATAGTATCAGATCAAACTGATCATGAAATGCCTTTTATCCTTTCTTGAAGCCCGCACACACACACCAGCAATATAGAGCAGCAACAAAAAGGAAAGTTTTCTACCTCTCTGGGAAGCTCACTGTTCTCATACATTCGTCTGACCTCTTCCCTGCTCAGACCACCAATCATGTCTCCACCTGCAGAGCAGCAGAGAGGATGCAAAGGATCAGGGCCTTCGTACTGCTTGAGTCCGGTCATGTGACTTCCATATACAGGGTCATACTTCACAGCATTTTCCATGGAGGACAGGCTGTCAGGCTGCCTGCTGGAACCACAAAAATGAAAGTATGGTTGATTTGAATTCTTTTTTCAAATATTCAACTTCTGGAAAGACTACCTAGAGCAAGTTTCTGTTGAGGAAGAAAAAAAGATGGACAGGATATGAATAGGGGTGGTGACTATAAAAAAAATATCCAGCTGTTTCACAAACAATATTTTCAGGTGTAATCACACAGGTGTCTGTGGAATTGCTCCATGTCTTTTTATCTTCATCAGCCCCACAGTACCTGGCACTCACTAAACAATGAGAAAATATGTCTGCCAGTAGACAGTAATTCATTAAACATATACAGCTCCATCATACCCAGGGTATACAAATCAAAAGTTAGTATGCAGCCACACTCAGAATCTGACATAAATATAAACAGACAGGGGACTGGGCCTCCATCTAATTCAAGTCTACAAAAGTCTACTGGGGGTTGACTATGTGTCTAAACTGTTTCAGATGCTGATGATATAAAGAATCTGTTGGAATCCTATCCTGATTGAGATTACAGTCTAATGCAGTCAAGCTGAATAAAAAATATAAGAATGGTGACAGAAATATATCCTGGCAATCAAGGAAGCTAGGAAGGGTTCCTTCTTAGCTAAGCCAGAGAGTAATGGAAGGCAAGATGGCCATGAGTCAGGAGCCTTTATAAACGCTTAGAAGTACAGGAACAAAGTACAACCAGGGATTGTGATTATATAACCCAGAAAGTCCTTGGAGTCCTAGTCTAGGAAGTAAGGCAGGTTCTAGTTTCTCTATTAACGAAACTATGCTTAAAACTATGCAGCAAACCAGATTTGTTTTTACTTCTTCATACCTTTATGCAATTTTTTTTCATTTATTTTACTCAAAACAATTATTTTTGGTAATCAATTGGCTACTAACTCATCCCCAAATCCAATTTGAATATTCTATTTCTAATTCCCTCTTTCTTTTGTTTATAGTACAAAAATGTTTTACTTTTATCAAGTTCATCTGTTTTCTCTTTGTACCACATATAAGCGAAAGATATGGTATTTGTCTTTCTTTCTCTGACTTATTTAAACATAATACCCTAAGTCCATCCATATTGAAGCAAAAGGCAAGATTTCATCCTTTTATAGCGAATAGTCCACTTTTTATAGTCCACTGTGTATATATACCACATCTTCCTTATCCATTCTTCAATCAGTGGGTACTTAGGTTGTTTCCAGGACAACCAGATTTCATGTCTTGGTAGAGTCTTACCTAGATTTAAAATCTGGTTTACCACCATGGGATGAGCCAAGGGGTTCAAAGTAGAGATATTCATGCAAGAGCCTCATTTCCTCTCCATCTTCTTCCAACTTCTCTCCTACCACACAGCAGGAATTCTGGCCTTATTCAATGATACCATTCCCTCAGTGTGTCCTGAAATCCACACATGCCTCCCTGAATTCAGTTAGGTAGCAAGTCCCTCCACCAGCAGCATAACATCTATTCTGCCAAACATCTACCTAACTAAAATATCAAAAATATCATTAAAACTTCTTTTTTCAGATTTTAAAACTTTATTTGCATATTGTAAAAACTTTATATCACAGTAACTAAAGTGATTTGAACAATTAAATATGGCACTCTCATTAAACTGTATCTTACACCTTGGCCATCACTGCCTTGCCACCCATCCAGACAGGCCAGTGGGAGAGGTAGATACAGCCTTCGTTGTCAGGAGTTCTTGATTCTCCAATATGAAGAGGGGAAGCACAGCCATTTAACCTGCTCCAAGTACTTTCCACTTTACGAAGTTGAACAAGTAGAAGAAGTAAAGTAAGAAGGCATTGCTTGTGGAGTGCACAGTGCACACTGTGACACACACCTCTTTACACTGTGCCTGCTTGAGTCTCTTTTCAGTTGTTCCTCTGAAAGACAGTGGAATTTCCTGTTGCCTTTCTGTCTTCTCCAAAATTGACTTATTGAATTTCTCAATCTCAGGCCTACCCTTGCAGAGGAAGCAGAGCACTAAACTTGAACTACCAGAGTCCAACCTGTACTGTGGCCACTGCTCAGCTTATTAAAATTTCTAAGACTTGGCCCTCCCTGGTGGCACAGCAGGTTAAAGCACAGCACTAAGAAGCTAAAGCAACTTTATTATGAGCTCGATCCCTGGCCTGGAGGTGACCCACATGATGCAGAAGACCTCTCCTGACCCGTCCACTGCTCCCCTCAGCAGTGTACTTGTTAGTCGGCCTGTTCTGCTCCCCACTCTGTCTCTGGTGAATCCTCTCACCGCCCCCTACACCTCTGGCCTCTATCTCAGTTCTATATGCATAAATAAATAAATCTTAAAAAAAAAATTCTAAGACTCTCTCCAGGCAAAACAAATTCATCCCTCTGCTAGGCCCCTTAGTATCTTACTAATATTGTTTATTTTATGACACTCTTTGTGGGCAGGGACCATCTTTTATTCAACCATACAATTCTCTTCCCTCCACCTTGTCTAATATTTGGCACATGGTATACACCAAATGAATGAGTAAACGGAACATTTTATTCTATCAGAAAGCAATTTTCCTTATTTACCTGAAGGGCCTCTCTCTTCCTCTCATTATATACTGAATTTGAAGAGTTTTGACAAGAAAGAAGATGATTGCTGACAAGACGAGGACCAGTCCAGCTACAGAGGCTGCAGTAATGACTATCATCAGGGGCTCGGACACAAACTCCTCACAGTGTTCACCTCGGAACCACCAGTTCTCACCTACCCGGCATCTGGAATAAAAGTGACCAAGTCCAAAATTTAAATCACTGCTGAAAATAACAATTAATAGCAGAACCTTCAGTGGGTCTGGGGAAGGGAGAGAAATAGATACTGACCACATGCAGCTTTAGTAAAGAGGTAACACACAGATTAAATGATCACATTTAAAGTGGTGCTTCATGCCTGGTGCAGCCCTCAATGACTAACTGTAAGAATGAATAAACTTAAAGTATTTCTATGTAACTTCAGTATTTATGAATAATGAAAAACAGGTCCAAGAGGAAAGTGATTGACATGAGATCACATAACAGAGCTGGGTCTAGAACCTTTGCCTCCAAACTCCTTACATATCTTTACTACACTACAGAGATCTTCCAAACCCCAAGGCCACATTCTTATGTAAAAATACCTTCCATTCCCAGAGCAGAAAGGAATCACTGCCTTTCAAAATAATAGTAGTTGTTCTAGAAATTACCTTCCACTTGAACTTTCTAGCTAAATTTTCTACTTTCCTATATAGAATACTTTGGATCATTTTATGTTTCCTCTGGCTTTGGCATCTATGCTGACATTTGCCTATTTTGACATTTGCAAATTGCTTATGCTTCCCCTGATTATCTTTAGCATTTTCTCCTTCTGTACCCATGCGACTCTGGTTATAAGTGGCTGAGAGGCTGATTTAGCAGGCTTTTTTAAAGAGGAGACAGCAAGGAAGGACACTCATCTCTGGCTACTATAGATTCTTTGATTCCACCTTTAAAAAAGTACATAACACATATTTGTCACGCAACTGCTATAATTTTGAATACTCAGTAGGACCAAATGTAGCCCAACACCATTAAGGACACAATTCAAATAGAATAATAAAACTCCTTTGTTTTCACTGTCAAATATAAAGTGTTAGATCTTATGCTGAAGCCTATTATGAGCAACAACAGTCTATGACCACTAAGAATCATAACACAAAGATCTTCAGATGCACCACGTACTCTCAGTAGGATACAACTAAACACTGTTTTTCTTACAACTCCCTGAGAGTACCAAATAAAATAACCAATTTATTCACTGGTCTATTAAATAGCCTCATCTTCACATGAGAACCACAAATTGTTCCTGACTTTCAATGGTTTGACTTAACAATTTTACTATTTAACTCTGATACAAAGATGATACACATTTTGAACTCGAATTTTGAACTAAAGTAGTCTGTTCTTCAGTTTCAGTACAGTATTCAATTAATCTCATGAGATCATCAACACTTTACTATAAAATAGGCTTCATTTGAATTATTTTACCTAGCTGTAGGCTCATGTTATGTGTTCTGAGCATGTTAAGACAATTAGTATATCATGTATATTAAATATATATTTGATTTAACAATATTTTTAATTTAATATGGATTTATTAGGATGTGATATCATAAATTGAGGAAGGTCTATATTTTTAGATATACTTTCTATAAAATATAATCTATGATTTTCCTAAAATCATAGTTTTGTACCCCCTTTTTTCCAATAGAAGTAACTATAACCTTGTGAAACCAAAATTTCTAACTACAACATACCTACAAATGGCGCCATGTCCAGGCATAATGTCACACTTCCCATCATTCAAGCAGAAATCGGGCTGTAGGTCACAGATACTCTGACAGGGCAGTTCTTCTACACTCACGTACCCAGGGTGGCATCTACACTCTGCTTCTCCACTCCAGGGGTTGACCAAACACTCAGAAAATTCATTGCATGCTTCAAATTTGCAAGCATTGGCTTGATCACCTAAAACATCAAGCAAACCGTAGAATGAGGCAAAGAAACACAAAATGCAGAAATTGGGTTCCTTCATAGAACTCCACTAAGGCTCTCTGCTCCACAGCATCAAGGGACAACCCCTTTCTGGAATCATAAAATTCATCACCACCACAAGTACCACACACACTAAAAAAGAAATCTGATTCACTCTTGATTGATGAATTTCTAAAAGATTTCTTTGAAACTGAAATTCAAGGCATAAAACCCAATGACATGGAAAAGGTTCTATGTCCTACCTAGATAGCTTGTATAAGCTTAAAAATCTGTCATGCAATTGGAAACTAAATGAAACCAGTTTTCATGAACCATTCATTTCCACCACACTTGCCCTGCTGTAGTCCACCTCTACCCTGTGCACATGATGTCACATGCCTTGACCCACACTGAGAACAAGAAGCAGGGAGACAGAGCCTAGGGGAAGATACTATAAATCTCAGGGAGAGAGGATAGTATCCAATAAGAGCTAAGAACATTCAAGATTTGTGAAAGTTAATGTTGCAAAAAGAGTCCTACACACCCTCTAGTCATTCCCAAAAATATTGGACTTGAGTAACTACATTTTCCATTGATAGGATGAGAATAAATTGACAATTTTAAAAGGTTAATTAAAACAACAACCCACCAAACGTTATGTAGGACACTGAACATGATGGGCCCTACATCCTCCTGTAGTTGCACTGTATGCCCTTCACTGTGAATACCAATCTGTGAATGACAAATGGGCAAATGGTGACTGGTTCACTAGGGCTTTCAAATAGTTTGAAAGTACTGGGAAATATGAAGGTAAACATCCCACCTTACCTCCTCAAAAACACTGTCCTCTTATTTGTGGACTAGGGAAATAAAGTTTAAGAATCCAACTTTTTTTTTGCATCCCAATGCAAAGACAAACAGTAATTCATTTCATTCATTCTCAGTATTTTTAAACATCTCTTATGTATAAGACATAGTGTTAGTTTTTGGCTAGAAAATGGTTATTAAAAGAGATATAAACTCAGCTCTTAGGAACGCTTCAACAAAGAAAAATAGCCCTTAAGTAACTATGTGCATAATTGAGTACTTTATGAATTTATAAGCTCAATAGCAAGAACAAATATGTTACAAAAGGAGTAAAAAGAGAGACCAATCTAGATTATGGGTAAGTCAGTGACTGTCTTGTGGAACAGGCAGTTGAATCTCATGAGGCATCAAAAGTGAGCAGAAATCAGCCAAAAAGGCACAGAGTTCCCAGCGAATGGGATATTACATGCAAAGACTTTAAGGCAAGAAAAGTATTTTGAACCTGAGATACTAAAAAAAAAAGAGAGAGATAGTTTGACTATAACATTGTGACAAAGCAATCTCTCTGGATTATATTGGAGAAGATAAGGGCTAAGTTATGTGGCTATTGAACCAGACAACCACTGAAGTATTTCAAGGAGGACAGTGAAATAATTGGACTGATACTTTAGAAAGAGAACCCTGGCGGTTGGAGAATAGAAAGGGAGAAAGCAAGACAGACAGGTAGTGTAGAAACTGGGCCACGTGACAGATGATGTGGTTTGTCCTGGAACAGTGGTAATAGAAATACAGAGAAACACATAGGTTTCAGATATATTTAGAATTTGGACTCAATATGTTTGATCAGTGGCTGAAAATTAAGATATAATAATGACTTGATGAATGGATGCAGCTTCTATATATCAAATAGGGATGTTAAAAGAAGGAGTAGATTTTCTTTTTTAAAATTAATTTAAAGAGGTGTTAAAAGAAGTAGACTTAGCTGGAATGTAGGGAGATAGGGAAAACAAGAGCTTCCTCTTAGAAATCTTAACTTTAATATATGTAGAATGTATTCAATTTGAGATTGTCAAGTATGTGGTTATTTACTGAATGTAGAGCTCAGATGATGTCTGAAATATGTATAAAATATACTGTTATTTATGTAACTTAAAATAATGGGAATGGATAAAACATTAAAATTAAGAAAGTAATATAGAAGAAAGAGAGTTCAAATCTATTGGGTCTGGCAACACAGATGTGACAAGAACAGATCTAATGAATTGGTAAAAGAGAGATCTAGGGCCCTCCCTAGTGGCACAGTGGGTTAAAGCACTGCACTGAGAAGCTAAAGCCATTTCCGCATGAATTCTATTCCTGCCTGCCCCAGAGGTGACCACATGGTGTGGCAGACCTCTCCTGACCCGCCCGCTGCTCCCCTCAGCAGTGTACTTCATCCATCTGCCTGTTCTGTTCCCCACTCTGTCTCTGGTGAAGCCTCTTGCCACCCCTGAGCCTCTGGCCTGTACCCCAGTTCTGTATGTACAAATAAATAAATCTTTAAAAAAAAAAAAAAGAGAGAGATCTATATAGAAGAATAGGTGGAAAGGTGGAAATGTGACTAGGAGGTAAACGAGATTACATGGGAGGCAACCCTTTTGAACAGAGAACGGCATTGATATCCTTTGAAGATGTATTTTACTGTTTTCAAAATACAGAAAACCTGTCTGAAATAGTACTCTTTTTCCTACATGTATTGCATTCATTTATTCAGCTTTACTCACTAGAATAGTGAATTCCGTGAAACTGGATTCCACAAAGAAGTAACCATTATGGGCCATCCCTGGTGGCGCAGCAGGTTAAAGCACAGTAACAGAAAGCTAAAGCCACTTCAGCATGAGTTTGATCCCTGGCCCCAGAGGTAACCCACATGACGTGGCAGACCTCTCCTGTCCCACCCTCTTCTCCCCTCAGCAGTGTACTTTGTCCATTAACCTGTTCTGATCCCCACTCTGTCTCTGGTGAATCATCTCACCTCCCCTGCACGCTGGCTTGTACTCCAGTTCTGTATGCATAAAGAAATAAATCCTAAAAAAAAAAAAGTAACCATTATATTGAATATAGTTACCTGATTCTACATCAAGGGAGTATTTATCAATAGCCAAGTTCATGGTTTGATAGGCAGTGGTACAAAAGTCTTCCAGAATCATATAGACAGCATTGTTGACATTAGGAGGCATAGAGTTAGTAAACTTCATTCGACTATTCACCACAATACTGCCATTTCTGAAATTCAGGATTTCTAAATTCTGGAATCCTGTGAGATTTGACTGGAGATAGGGAACCAGCTGCAATACATGAAATGTGATCAGTTTACTGACAAATTTTGCATGTTGCTGAATATAAAAAGAAACCTTCCTCAAGCAAGTTTGGGTCCCTCCACTACTTTTCCAAATTAGACACTATTTAATTATTCAAACTGCTCACTAAAAGTATAAAATGCAAATTATTTGAGAGTCATAAGATTCATATAGTGATATTTATGAATTCCATGAAACTCACAGTTTCAGATACCCAAAGTGTTTCACTAAGGAATCCCAACAGTGACATCATCATCATAGTTACTTACAATATAATAGTCTCGCAGCAAAAGGTGAAAAGAAATCTTAAACTTGCTTCAGTCCTAAAATTCATAGAATACAATCTCCAATACCTAAATTGTAACATCACCCTCATTCCACCTTTGAGTTTTCTATCTCTTACATCTGTTTACTGTTTTTGTGACAAAGCTAAACCATTACAGTCTTTAAAGATAAGATAGGAATTAAATACAACATAGGGAATGAAAGTTCATGTAGAACTTTCCTTGGTTCAGGTATTATGTGTTGGGGGGAAAAGAGCAGTGGTTCATACATGATTATTCACTAATGCCCAAATACTATTTCTGTGCTTACCAATTCCAAAAATCTTTGCTCCAGGACTTTATATTCCAAGGAGTTTTTGTTAAATAGATCTTCTGAAAACATCATGTTAGTCACTCGAAGGCTGAAGAAAACTAGCAAAGTTCCTGAGGTCTGGGTATAACTTGAGTCACCTACTTGTGCAGGCTGAGTCATAATAGTCATCTCTGAGGAGAGAACATTTGTAGATATTTCCACGTAGCTACCAACCTTGCCATTTTCCTCCTGGATTAGCTCTGATTGATAGTAATCTGTGCCGGTCTGGTCTAGTTCTAATGAAATGTCCTGTACACCCATAATTACTTCATCTTCCTGCAGAATGGCACCTGTGGTTGGAGGCAATTTAGTAGACTGTATAGCTCTCAACAAGAGATTGTCAATATTCTGTGTTCCTACAAATGTATCTTTGGACAATTTCCCTGGGGAAGAAGTTTGTGCCCAAACTACATCTGATTCTGGCAATGTGGCCCACAAAGGTTGCATATCTGGCTTCTCTATTAAAGCCCTGCTATGAAACCATTCATGCCTGAATGGCTCTGTAGTTTGTTCCACATCTTCCTTTAGAAAAGCTTCTACTTGATCTGGTTTATCAGAAGCAGCAGAAATTGCTGTAGATGGCAGTAGAAAAGGTGTTTTGGTATCCAAATAATAATAATCATTGTCCAGTGTCTCTGGTGTATGCTTGGAGAGAATTAGAGATGCTGACTGAGCTATGGTCTCTGCAAGAAGTTCTTTTTTGGTGATGTTTGTTGAACTATCAAAATGCCTATATGTTGAATGCTCAGTATTTTGGCCTGTGGAATCTATTTTGTCATCTATAAGAAGTTTCTCATCGACATCTTCAGATGGCAAAAGTGAATCCTCATCTTCAAGTTGTGACTTCAACAGTGACTTAGTACTTTTCTCTAATGAAGTCTTGCTCCATGACCAAGTAATCAGATCCAACTTTTGGCCAGACCCTGAACCTAAACCATTCTCAAATATCAACTCTTTTTCCACAGAAGTGTCTGGCATCAAACTACCCACTTCTAATTGATTTCTTTTTTTGGAGGCTAAAGAATGCAAGCCAAAAGGTGTAGTTATTTCTTTAGTAATAAGATCTAATGTGACTGAGGTGGCCAGATATGGTGAGGATGTCAAAGACACCCCAGAGTCTTCCATGGGTGGTACTGTTTCTTTTGGCACAAGATGAGTTAATGGACTTGAAGACAATGGATCAATAGAAAGAAAATCTCCCGACACTTCAACTTCGGTTAATCCTAAAAATAAATTTTCCACTGATTAATCTACAGAGCTGCCAAAATCTACTCCTAGTTGTCCTAGTAAAACCATCTCATTGTTTGTTCCCATTGAGTCAGGAGAGACAACTGTTGACTTTTACTTTGCTACACCCAACCAACAGCAAAGTTGGTTTGATCATGTTTCTGTGATATGGCACATCACTAATGAATATACTCTCCCTCTGTGAAGATAACAATATCTTGGCTATTAAAATAATTCACCTTTCAACAAACACTTGATTTTTTTAGTCCATGAAAATAAAGAACCACTGTTAAATCACATTACGAACAAAGACTGAATCTAGTGGAAACTTAGATGGAAAGTTCCCTAGGAAATTTTGTTAGTCTTTGAATAACCATTTCTTTGTTAAGTGTATTTATTCTTTATATATTTATTCATTTTTCTCTTTCCCACATACATTTCATCCTTAAGTCACATTGATTTTTCCTCCACAACCACTCTAGATCACGGCCTTCACAATTAATCCTATTAAAAACAACTAGACTAATCTTTGTTTACCACTCCAATAATCAAGTAAGAAAAGTAGTTTTTTAGTAGTAGTTTATCTAAATTATCTTTTCTTCAATAGGACCTTCAAAATATTTATTAATTACTTCCACCCCACCTACCAAGTTCATTTCTTAATAACCTGCTTGGACCTTGCATTCCAACAAACTAAATTTGAACTACACTTTCTTACACAACTTTCCTAACACGTTTCATCGTAATCATGCTACCATGCTTCTTTACTAGTCGTACTTTATCTCTTCAAGACTCTTGCCATTTGATATAAGAGTAAAGAGATGTAAAAAGTAATTAGAATTCCTTACTATCTTCTAATGAGTCCAATCCAGAAGTCCTTTCCTCAGAAGGCGCAGACAAGCCAGTGTAAAGCACTGCTGGGGTGATAGGATGAAGAGACAAGCTGCTGACCTCTAAAACCTCCGGGGATAAACTGAGGCCTAGCTTTGAGGGAAAGGCTAATTTGGATGTAGACACTAAATCACCCAAAGGGCTTTCTGACCCAAGTTTCCTGCCAATGGTTGAGGGAAGACCAGAGCTGAAATCAAGTGGTGAAATACTGCTGGTGGTGGATTCATCTGCTGAGGGCCATTCAGTATTATCCTAGGAAGGAAAAAAAATGGCTAAAACATATCACAGATAAAAGAAATAAACTAAAATTATTTCTAACCCACCTACTCCCTACCTTCTAGATTTTCTAGGGACAATGAAGCAATGTAATCTTGGGGAAAAGAGGAAATGTGGGCTTTAGAGTCAAACAGATATATTATCAAATCCCATATTAAAAAACCTGTTGTTAATCTCTGCTTACTTTTATATCCCTATTTTTGCTCTCTAAATAGAAGTAAGATATATCCATAGTTAGATTCACTTCTGCTAATGCCAGTTGAAAGGTTTGCTAGTGCTAATAAAGCATACTACTGTGCAGGAAGGGATTTTCTAAGTCAGGATACCAAAAGCTGTCAAATTCAGTCTCTCAACATTCCTGCCTCTAAAGTAATCTAGTAACTGCAAAGTCGAAGCTACTACTAGGAGGTTGGGATGAGGACAAAGGGTGAGGAGCCCCATGATGACAAACTATGGGTGCTTAGAGGTGGATGAGGCATGATGACATACATCTGAGGAAGTGGGAATCTATTTCTCTAAATTATGTACAATGTTGTAAACAAATATTACCTCAATAAAATATATAGTAATAATAAAGAAATTCTAAAAATCAAACTTAATTTAAAAAATACTCACTTCTATAAAAGAATAAAATCTTGCTAACAGTGTGCGAGAGGAGGAAAGGAGGGAGGAACGAAGAGGAGGAAAAAAAGCAATACAAAGTCCTTCTAATTAATCATTTTGTTCTCTTCATTACCTATTAACATTCCAACGACTCCTCAAATAGTTAATTTCCTACAGTTATCACAAATCAAAAATAAAGGACTTAAACACAAATGAAACTACAGAACAAGTCAGCCCAAGTCAGTCAGTGCTTGCCATCCTTAAAGGGACAGCTTCTTTCAACCAACATTCAGCCACTATCTACAACAAAGGACTGTGAAATTAATGATACCAGATCTTCCTGGTCTTTACAATCAAAAATTTGCAAATTTTATTTTCATGCAAAAATGTACTAATCTTTAAATTTGGCCCAAAATATATGCCATAGCTACATCCAAGTAACTGGCTTCTGGCTTGCAACCTTTGACTTACATAGAAACTTCTGTCTTTACAAGTCATTCTAAAATATCTCAGATCTTCTGCTAGGGCTACAGAATCCAGAAGCTGAAAGGGATTAGAAGGAACAGAAACTAGTGATGCCATGTTTGCATGAATCACCATTCCCTGCCAGTACACCCTTCATGGACTTTAATGATAGCATCATCTAACTTGTGCAAAAGTCTGTCTACTACTACCAGACTGGAAATTTCTTGTAGACAAGGCCACACCTTATTTGTCTTAGTTTCCCCACAACTTGGCACATGAAAAACACAAAATAAATATTTGTGAATGAATAAATAAATGCCAAATGAAAGTAATCTCTGATGTCAAACTCCCTCTAGCTTTTTTTCTTCAATATGGAGCTTGGTGATTTATTTCTGATTACATATTTCAAACTGAGTTACTATATAATTGAGTACAATGGTTGCATATAATAATGCTTAAGTACAATTCAAGTATTTCAATTTAATTAAGAGTAATTTCTTTTCTGTCGTAGGAGACAGTAAAGAAGTGCTGCAAAGTTATAAGGATTAGGGGGAAAAAGGAGTTCCCCCACCTGTGTCTACATGATAATAAAAGAATCACATATTCATTGTGAAAGTCTGTACTGATTATAGTGGTCATTGCCTTTGTTACTTTTTTTTTTTTAAACTGTATTTGAGGAAGTTACTTTCTTTCTAGTGAATGCTTTCCTTCAGGTGAAGTGGCAAGTGAAGGTTTGGAAGAAGCAGAGAGTATCAGGATTTTAGGTGGTAGGAACAAAGAACAAAATTCAATAGTTAGCAGAAGGAAATTGGCAGGGGTGGAAGCAAGTGTAGAGGCAACAATGGATAGTGTAATAGTACTAAAACTCTGGTGGTGGGTAAGCAAAGCATATATACATACAAAGAAATGAAATTGTGCTCCTAAAACTATATACTTTGTAAGTAAATGGTAAATTAATAAGTTTTCTAAAACATTCTTTCCATGCTATTTCTGTACAAATGGAAAGGTTTTCAGCTCAGGTTAAAAGGAGCCTGATATACAGTGTATGCCATTAGCCAATATTTGTAGTCTTTCCTCTCCCTTTTCCATATATACATTATTCTATACGCTTAGGACTCTAAATGCACTCTTCAATACAATCCCTGGGAACAAAAACCTACACTATTTACCCATATTCATCAACTAATAGCCTTGGCTATAAACCATTTCTTGGTAACTTTTAGAAAACAACTCAGTGGGAACTTATAGTTAATTATCATGAAACAAGTACAGACTATAAATATGTTTTTAACCATGTGTGGAGTTTGACAACACCATGTGGACTTCATTTAATCACTGTAGGTTTAAATTTTTAAATAAATTTTGGAGCACATGAGTTGACAACTATGAATAATGTTCCAGGGATGATGTAAGAGAATATTTGAAATCAGAAATTCTCAGGAAATTCATGATGCCAAAGTAAGCAGGTGAAGGTACAAAAAAAGCAAATGTTGAGGGCCTGGCTCAAGACATAAAACATACAAACATACTTACCAGAATAGATGATAGAGTTGTCTGAAGACTCAAGTTTTGGTTGTTCCAAACTCGCTCTTCAGTTTCAGGAAGTAAAACTCCTTTCACTAAATAAAGAACAATATTAAAGAACATTTTTTTAATTGAAATACTATTGTACATGAGGTTCAAGCACAACTAAAAATTGAATTTTTCCTCTATTATTTGGATGTAGCAAAACAGATTGAGACTTGCTTAGGAAGCAAAATATTTTACTTAGATTAGCAGAATGTGTCTGATTTATAAGACCAACATAAGTATTTATTCCACTATCACATCCAGGACATTCCTACATTATTTCTTTTCCTCTAACAAGTCAGACTTACTCTTCCCAACATTTCTATGAAGTCACTGTAATTTGACTTTTTGCTTTGTTTTTTTTAAAAGACTTATTTGTGTATACAGAAATGGGGTATAGGCCAGAGGTTCAGGGGCAGTGAAAGGATTCACCAGACACAGAGTGGGGAGCAGAGCAGGCCGACTGAGAAGTACACTGGTGAGGGGAGCAGCGGGCGGGTCAGGAGAGGTCTGCTGCACCATGTGGATCACCTCTGGGACTGGGGATCAAACTCATGAGGAAGTGGCTTTAGCTTCTTAGTGCTGTGCTTGAACATGCTGTGCCACCAGGGAGAGCCCATTTTTTGCTTTTTAAGTAAGAAAATTGAACTGACATTTCTACTCATTTGGTTGATGTTAAGATTGGAGAAAATTATGTAAAGTGATTTCTTTTTTGGCACAAGTACCTTTGAAAAAATTGGTTAGGACACCAAAAATTTTTCCGCTACAGTGAAACAAAGATAATAGACTGCATAATTTAATTCAACAAATATTTACTGTATTTTTGCTAATTACTACAGACCTTGCGAAAATTGAGGCATTATTAAAAGTGAAAATCTATGGAACTATTCCTTATGTCAGAGAGACAAACACAAACTTATAAAGTATGAGGGACAGATGTAAACATATGAGAACAGAGTCAGAGAAGAAACCGATTTTGCAATAAAGGGAGAGGGAATTAATAAAGGGCAAGAGGGTGATCTGCTATATGCTCCAAAAGCAGAAGGAGAATCTCTCTCTATTGACCAGTTCAATGGCCTAACATAGATAGATCAATCAGAAGCAAAATCCTATTTTGTTTAAAATTTTTCCCTCAAAACTCTTTTCAATAGCATATACAATCACCTTGCAGAAAGACAAGTAAAAAAGATGAACTCAGGAAAGCAAATCAATAAGGTACAACAAAGTTTAAAAAACATATTCATAATCTCAGAAACAAAACTATTAAGTCAAAGGTAGAAACTGAAGCTTCAAATGAGAAAATCATTGAGAATCCAAATTGCAAAGAAGTAAAACTTTCATTATTTTCAGATGACATGATAATGTATGTAAAAACCCATAAAGACTCCACTAAAAGGCTCTTAGAAGACTTTGCCAAAAGTCATTACAATGAAATAGCAGGTTACAAAATCAATATATAAAAATCCATGCATTCCCACACAAAACAACAAACTAAAAAAGAAACAACCCCATTTATAATTATAAAAAAAAAGAAGTTTGTATTTTGCTCCTATTTCTCTAAATTATTTATAAATTCCATACTGTTCTCCATTTTTCCCACTCTTTGTAGCTTTTGGTCTACACATATTTCAGAGAGCCCCTTGATAAGCCTATCCAAAACAGCAGCATGATTACAGTTCCATTCATATCATGATAACTTGAGTCTCAAGCAGTATAGAGAACACTCAGAACCACATATACTAAGGGTAATTGTGCTCAGACCAGAAAAGAATTAAATCTACTAAGCCCTTTATGATATATATCAAACTCACCATTGATAAGCTGAAGGGTATCAGGATCTAGATGCAAGGAAGAGTTCCCCAGCAAAAAATTCTGGTGCAGTGACTCAGCAATATAATCTCTGAAGTTACTAATTGTATAAACAACAGTGGGCTTATCATCCAATTCCACAAGACCATGGTTTTCCACCTTGTTGGAGTGAAGGCTAATTAGGTCCCAGGTAGTATTGCTGATAGCCTCACCATTGAAGGTAACTGCATAATGAACTTCTATGCCACTATGGAGGAAAAGAGAACATATAAGGCACTGCCAAGGAAGCACAAAAAAAGGAGATTTAGGGCCCTCCCTGGTGGCGCAGCAGGTTAAAGCACAGCACTAAGAAGCTAAAGCCACTTCAGCATGGGTTTGATCCCTGCCCCAGAGGCGACCCAAATGGTGCGGCAGACCTCTCCTGACCCACCCACTACTCCCCTCAGCAGTGTACTTCATCCGTCTGCCTGTTCTGTTCCCCACTCTGTCTCTGGTGGGTCCTCTCACCACCCCTATACCTCTGGCCTGTACGTATAAATACATAAATCTTATTTTAAAAAAAAAGGAGATTTGAACCCCTGAGGGACAACATTAGACAAGAGGAGAAGTCTCAGAAAGCATGGATTCCATGCTTTTTAGACTTTGGGCTACTTCTTGCCATCCCACCCAGAGAACAGAGGTTCACAGAGCTAAGAAACTGGAAAGAGTTCTAAGAAAACCACAAAATGACCCTGAAGAACTCTGAAGCATCTTCTTTGCCTTCACTTTTACGCAACCTTTCTACCATCAAAACCAAGTGTGTCTCTCTACTATTAACTTGCTTCGTACTTCTCCATTGACATTATTCCTCCCTGGTATTAAAAAAAGGGGGGGGAAAGAACTTGTAATTCCACCCAATAATGGGTGATCTTCTCAATATTTTGTTTATCATTGTTGTTGGATGAATTATGTGCTCCACATCAGGCAGTGATACAATGATGTTTAATTACTGTGAACTAAAACAAAGCTGTTATTGTAGACATAAAATACAAAAACCTTGAGAATAAAGCAAACTGATGACTTTTTTTTTAATTATCACGATAGGTTATTTCTAATAGGACAGGTATCTAAATCTTTCAGGAGACATACTTTTGTTTGGTAGCACAATTTATAGACCTATAAAATTTACACAAAATTGTAAAAACATACTAACAAGTTTTTTTTTTGGCCTACTAGGAATAACTCCAAAGTTTGCTATATTATAGGGCATTAACCAATTCTGTGTCTAATTTAGCAATCATTTCCCAATTATATAAATTTCGGTTTTCCAAATGCTCTATAAACTAATTCATTTTCTAGAGATTCCTTCACCAATGAGTTACTAAACCTTGACAGCCACTAACAAATAACTTTATCTGGGAATGGGACTTTTTTGCTGTCTAGTTTTCTATGAACAAGAAAAGGGGAGGTTTTTTAGAATAAAGGATAGTGTGAAAATAAAATAAGTAGAAGTTGATAATATTTTATGTGTCATTTGATTTCTTTGTCATTTGGAGAAATATCAAAATATCAAACTTAAAGCAAATAGGAACACTTTTAGATGTTAATTCAGATTTTTCCAACAACCAGAAGCTAAGATTTTGTGTTTACTATATAGTAGGTATCCCATATCTTATCTTGTTTAATTTGATAATAACCTTATGAAGGTTTATTATCTTTGGATTATCATTAAGATATGGAACTTTAATGCAGTTGCAAAACATACCTAAAATTCAATGTGTAAGTAATAAAAATTCAAACATAGTTCTGTCTGACTTTAGCACCTGCATTCTGAACTACCAAGTCATAATCTTGGCAGCTTTAATTAAACTAAGTAACAGGATAAATCATTATGGGGACTGTTTTGCCCTAGTCATCAGTCTGATTTCTGTCTATGCCACACAGTCATTAGAGGCAGATCTTAGCTAGAGCAACAACCCTCCAAGAGATGAATCACTCAAAAGCAGACATGAAATATAAACAATTTGCCATCTTCAGGATTCTGTAGAAGTAAAATGACTCCCAAATCAAAGAACTAAAAAAATTAAGTATGTCCTGCTCTGAGCTACTTATATATGTTCATATATTCTTGATTATAACCGTTGTGGTTCTGTAAAAAGATTTTGTTTACAGTGACTATCCTTTAACCTCTTCTTGAGTTTCTATAACAATGTTCAACTTGGTATATGGCACTGAGGGATATCCACTACAAACTAAATAACAAGAATTTACTGTCTGAATATAAAATGAAAACTACCACCTGATGAAGATACTCAGTTATCTAAAGAAAAAGTATCAACATACAGATAATAGTATCATGCAGTCAAAAAGGGCCCTCCCTGGTGATACAATGGATTAAAGCACAGCACTATGAAGCTACCTGCAACATGAGTTCAACCCTGGCCAAAGAGGTGACGCACATGGCACAGCAGACCTCTCCTGACCTGCCTGCTGCTCCTCTCAGCAGCGTATTTCAGTCCATCTGCCTGTTCTGCTCCCCACTCTGTCTCTGGAGAATCCTCTCACCCCCACCCACACCTCTGGCCTGTACCCAGTTCTGTATGCATAAATAAATCTTTAAAAAAAAAAGAAGGAATTAGTCAACTAATTATTGGAAGGCTTGTGCTCAGTGTACTGTGACTTCCTTATAAGAAATTCTTAAGTTGGAGATGACCACAACTGCATGACTTAATGTTACGTGGCCACTAAGATCACCTAACTTTCTTGTTCTGATTTTAAACTGGTAAAGGGAACTTTTTACTTTTAATTCCCTACAGCTTTTTCTTTGGGGAAAGAATGTAAAACAAGTTGATGTAATAATCATACATATTTCTCACTTAAAGTGGATCAACTGACATCTTAGAGAATTCACTGCATTTTGTAATTTGATAAGCATGAATCCTGTATGAAATCACTCTTTCCTGGAAGAACTCATAGCTCTGGACCTGTTCTGGATGTTCATCCTTCAGATCACACACTGGACTTCAGGAGCCACAAGGAAGATGACACCCCTCACCTGCCAAGCATCAGGTCTCTTTGATGTTCCTGATTCAATCTCAGTAATTGCATTCAGGTTTTTCCTCCAAGCTCTAATAAGCTGTCAATCCCAATGAGGTAGTCTAGAGCTCTGTATCTGACACTGGCAGAACATCTGCTTGTCATCTGGAACTTTCCTCTGTCTCTGGTGAATCCTCTCACCCCCACCCACACCTCTGGACTGTACCCCAGGTCTGTATGCATAAATAAATCTTTAAAAAATGAATTAGTCAACTAATTATTGGAAGGCTTGTACTTGTAATCTGGAACTTTCCTTAATTTTTCATGTCAGAATATTTTGCTTCATGAATAATTCCTGATCTTGTTTACTAATAGAACAAATTCACAGCAAAATAAGCAAAGGATGGCCACCAGGAGGAACAGAGCAGTCAGAGGGACACCGACTGGTCAGAATTCTCCATTCTAAGCATCTACCACAGGCTGGCTCATAGCTGTTTAATAAAAACTTGAAAACAATGAAAAAGAACACAGGTCAATTTTATTCACTAATGCAGCCAGATAAGACAATTAAATCTGTGCCATTTAGGTGATGGTACTCCTGATGTAATCTGAAGGATTTTTAGTCTTTACATGTAGAAGAATAATTTTTCACCCTAAAGAGTATCATTATTTCATACATTTGCATGTTCTGAGTAATCACTTCAGGCACAATGCATCACAGTCACAACCCAATTCTGTTGAGGACATACATTCCCTTCCTAGTCTCTAAGACAGGAGCCATGTCTGCATCTGTTGAAAAGTGTACTTTTCCGGTCCTCCCTAGTGGCGCAGCGGGTCAAAGCACAGCACTGAGAATCTAAAGCTGCTTTGCATGAGTTCAATTCCCACCTGCCCCGGAGGTGACCACATGGCGCGGCAGACCTCTCCTGACCAGCCCGCTGCTCCCCTCAGCAGTGTACTTCGTCAATCTCCCTGTTCTGCTCCCCACTCTGTCTCTGGTGAAGCCTCTCACTGCCCCTGAGTCTCTGGCCTGTACCCCAGTTCTGTATGCACAAATAAATAAATCTTTAAAAAAAAAAGAAAAGAAAAGTGTACTTTTCTTTGGGGGTCTTTGCATAACCTATTACTAAGTTAACATGGCTTAAGGCAGGAAGCAGTGATAAGGAAAGAATGCAACGAAAAGGTTGTGCCAGTTAGCACTTGAGTTGGTTCCTGGACTGCAAAACCCAGACAAGGAGAATCAAGTCTTTACTGGAATCTTACCCCATCCCTTGCATGACTTTTTAAATATCACAGGGAGAAGATCAAGAGAAATATTCCTGGATCAAGAAAATTATGCAGATCAGGAAGTCTGGGTTAGATTACTGGCTTTACTCTTTATTGGCAAAATATAATTTGTCTCCAAGGTCTCTTTTGGACAGTCTTATAATGTTATTCAAAATACCATTTCAATTATAATCTACCTTCTCTAGTGAGGATAAATTCATTAAAAAAGATAAAATGTCTCAGAGAGATGTTGCAATTTATCACCATGTTTGTATCCTGGAAAGAGAACTGAAAGAAACATTTGAGATATCAGGAAACCATCTATTCTCAGAGCTGAAAATTTGATGTGACCTAGAACAGAATGAGTTCTGGCATGGTAAATGATATACAAAGACATCTCCAAATGAGGGTCAAGACAGAGAAAGTCAAGAGGCCAAGGAAGTATATACAAAGCAGAAGGCACACTGATAGACAAAACATTATCTGATTGAAAAAAGCTGTGCTGGCTTTACACTCAGCAACTCTAAGTTAGCCAGCCACTGTATCATCCTCCCTCATCTAAACTAGACTGAAACAGCTGCTATGTAGGGGAAAGTTTCTCTGTCAGCTATTTCCAGAGACATCAATGATGTTGGGGTGAAATTACCCTTTTTTATTCTTTCACCTCAAATGCCTTGATTGGCTGCTTGACATGTACAGATTTTAAACAGAAAAACAATGCTATGTCTCATTAAGATAGTTCAAAATGAGATATTTTGAAGAACTCAGGTATTCTTTTTCCCACTTACAAAACCTGGAACTGAATTTTTGAAGTGTGTGTACCAGGCAGACACATTACGGGTCCTAGTATTAATATAATGTGTGCATCTGGAAAAAGACACAAAGAAAATACAAAATTTCATGTACAAACAAATGTTTAGAGAGGAAATTATATGTTATATAGGAGGTTATTTTTGCACCACATAGTCACTCATACACAGCCCAGAATACAGGTCTACCAACAAAAAGTGAGGAAGAACTAGGTAATACTGGACAACACTGGAAAGTCTACCAAGATTAACAATTCTATCATAAAACCTAATGACTTCATATTGAATTATTATCTATGTCCCTGAGACTATTAAGATTCAGGAGCTGACTATCATTCTTTTAATCACAGGGTTTAAAAAACAATAAGTTATGCTTAACATGGAGCTTCCCTACGACCCAGCAACCCCACTCCTAGGTATCTACCCAAAAGACACAAAAACACTGATTGAAAAAGATACCTGCACCCCCATGTTTATTGCTGCTTTATTTACAATTGGAAAACCATGGAAACAGCCCAAATGCCCAAAAGTAGATGACTAGATTAAAAAGATGTGGTACATATATACAATGGAATATTACTCAGCAACCAAAAAAAAGAAATACATGTCTTTTGCAGCAACTTGGAGGAAGCTGGAAAACATCATGCTTAGTGAGATAAGCCAGAAAGAGAAAGAAAAATACCGGATGGTTTCACTCATAGCAGGAGTATAATGGACCAGGCGAGAAAATAATAAGAATAATGAACAGCCATATACCAGAGACATTTTGTGGGGGTAGAGTGGGGAATGGGATCAAAAACGGGAGGGTGGCGAGGGAAGTGCACAGGACTATGGTGATGGCACACAGGTGACTTGGTGATGGGAAACCTGCGGGGATTACATTTGAGATGAAAAAAAATGTGCAAAATGATGTAAAACTAAACTATTATAAAAAAAGTTATAAAAAATATACTAATCACAGAGTTAACATTAGAGTTTGGGCTGTTCTAACATTCTCATCACTCTCAAGAGGGCAGCAGTGAAACATTCGGGTCTTTTGGTTAAGTGCTAACCATCAACACATATACCTATGATGCACATATAGACAGCAACTCCATATACTAAGAGTATAGAATTCCAAAGTCAGACAAGCTTGGTCAAAATACATGCTATTGCCTACTCATAAAAATCACAGTAATTTAGTTTGCCTCTGAGGAATATTTCCTCACCTTCAAAAGATTTATATTAATTTTCATTTCAATCTCATAGAAAAATAAATGAAAGAATGACCACTTTGACAGTCTCTGAAATCACTTTTTATTAAACTGTGTTCCTTCCTAGAAGGTAGAGACCAACAGTTATTTACCCATTTTTATAGGCAGAGAGTTTACCCAATTAGCAGACACATAGTAAATGCTTGATGAAATAATATAAATTAAGATGAGGAAGTTGGGGCCTCCCTGGTGGCACAATGGGTTACATTGTACACTATAAAGCTTTTCGCAGCCACTGTGGCACAAGTTTGACCCCTGACCAGGGAGGTGACCCACATGGTGCTGCAGACCTCTCCTGCCTTGCCCTCTGCTCCCAACAGTGTGTTTCAGTCTGTCCGCCTGTTATGCTCCCCACTCTGTCACTGGTGAATCTTCTCAACCCCCACCACTGGCCTGTACTCCAGCTCTTGTATGCATAAATAAATAATTTTTTTAAAAAATGAGGAAGTCAGAAAGACCTTTCCAAATATAAATTACAGTGAAGAAATACTACTGTATCTCTGAACAAGTACCTATTTAGCCTATGCATTTGCTTCATAATTCTGTATTATATTAACAAATTTTCCCAAGAGAAAGTAAATTTTACATAACTTTTTTTTTTCTTAAGATTTATTTATTTGTGCATACAGAGCTGGGGTACAGGCCAGAGGCTCAGGGGCGGTGAGAGCATTCACCAGAGACAGAGCAGGGAGCAGAACAGGCAGAACAGGCAGATCGCCACCAGGGAGGGCCCAAATTTTACATAATTTTTAATCCCAAAGTTAAAAAGGACAAAGCAAACTTCACGATGAGTATTGACTATGCTTTTAGATTATGATACTTCTAAGAAACTCCTCAGTGGGCCCTCCCTGGTGGCACAGCGGGTTAAAGCACTGCACTAAGAAGCTAAAGCCATTTCCGCGTGAGTTCTATTCCCACCTGCCCTGGAGGTGACCACATGGCGTGGCAGACCTCTCCTGACCCGCCCGCTGCTCCCCTCAGCAGTGTACTTCGTCGATCTGCCTGTTCTGCTCCCCGCTCTGTCTCTGGTGAAGCCTCTCACCGCCCCTGAGCCTCTGACCTGTACCCCAGTTCTGTATATACAAATAAAATAAATCTTTAAAAGAAAAAAAAGAAACTCCTCGATGAAGATGTTTTTGCAAGTCAACTATTACACAGATAACTTTAATCCATTTCATTCACTTTTATAAAATGGCAATGACTATACAATTCAATGACATAATCTACTGAAAGTGGTTGCATTAGTGCAAGTTTTTATTTCTATTTTAAATGAATTATAATTTCAGTCAACTGTATAGAAAATAACAAGAAGTACTCTACCTGCCATTTTCCTTGGGGGACCTGAAAACAAAAATTGAATGTGTTAAGCAGCTTAAGGCAGTTATAATTATCACATGATTCATCAAAATGCAAGTTTTTAATATATTTTTATCTTGAAATATTTCCTTAAATGAAAATCCATATATGGTCAAATATGATAAATTCCTATAGATTGAAGGAAGTAAGCAAACATAGAGAAAGTATTCTTTTTTGAAACCAATAATCATGAAACTTGTCTTTAAACTTAGTTAAAAATACTTTTTAAATATTGCACATAAGGCTATCTCTTTATTAATAAACTTTTTTCAGTAAGTCAGCAGAGGACTTCACAGAGTTGTCAACATTAACAAAATCAGGAATCATTTCTTGGAGTTACAGTGTATGTAGTATGAAAATAAATAGAAAGAAAATTAGATAGTATACAGAAAGTCAATTTTGACATTTGGGGGCTATCAGGATTGTCTAACTATAATTTGTAATATATATTTATTTTATGTAATGACACTAGAACATCCCCTGAGCCAGAAACTGTGCTAAGCATCGTGTATAAATTTAGTTCATTTATTCCTCATTAAGACTCATTAAGTACCATCAGTATAACAATATTACAAGTAAGAAAACTAAGGCACAAAGAAGCTAAATAATTTATCCAAAGTATTTTTTTAATAAAGGAGATTTAGAAGGTAAAGTGTCTTTTTACACAAATTTTTAGTAATTTACCCAAAATCATCAAGCCAGAAGTACCAAATGCAGAATTTGAACCTAGCCGGGTAGGCTCCAAGGGCTGTGCTGCCTTTCCTGTGCCACCACAAGAGAAGGAGCTTCAAAGGTCTCACACTCTTAGGTATTCACAGGAGCTTTAGTAACAACTGGAGGCAGTATTTTGGGGGAAATACTAAGGTTAAACAATGGAACCTGGGATGGCGTGAGGTAGGTGTATGTTCCTGCCCTTTCTCTGCAAGAACAACAAACTGAGTAGCCTTCAGTAAATTCCCTGTGTCCTGGTTCCCTTATCAGAAAAAATTAGAATAATGACTGTGTCCTAGCACAAGTGCCATAGTAAGCCTGGCTTGCACAGTGCTTGGCACCAGGGTAAATGCTATGTAAGTGCTTGCTGTTAATTCTAGTAATCCCAGAAGGTAGAACAAGCATATGCCCAAGTGAAGATAACAATGTTAATTCTGCTGTGAGGTCACACATACCCCTGCATGCTCCTTTGCATCCAGTAGCCAGGCCACTAGTAATTTACCAGCTCTCTGACTTTGAAGCCTATTTCCTTCTATCCAACATAAGTATTAACAATAATATTTATTCTGAGAGAGTTAAAATTAAGTGAGCTCAGGAAAGTGAAAGGCCCACTTTCATTCAATAAATGTTCACAAGTACTAAGCTGTGGGCTTTAAATGAAAAAAAAAAAAAAAAAACTTCAAAAGTGGTATCTGACTTATTTGGAACTGTTATATTTGACACAAAGATGAATGCATCCCCTCCAGAGTGATATTAACACCAAGATGTGAAAAGTCATCACAATAAAATATTCACAAGTTTTAGTAAGACACTGAGGTCACATCTAACCTGACTTCATGCTCCCCTTAGTGCCAAGTGAAAGCAGTATTTACTTGTCAGCAGCAAGCAGCGGACATGAATACCTGAGTTCTTAGCCTGGCTCAACTACAGATCCCGTATGTCACTGGGAATATACTATTTTGCCTTTTTCTAATTCAGTTTTTTCACCTGAAAAACAAGCTTTCAAGAAACAAACTTACTAGAAAGAACAACGAATTTCAGTATTCAAATCACTGTTAGAGAATATAATACAAAAGACAGTCCGTGTGACATAAAGAGTGCTAATAAACATTAGAGTAAGACTACTTACCTAAAATCAAGTATACGGATGTCCTTGTAGCCAGGTAATGCAGTAAATGCATTTTCAACCTATTAAAAATAAAAATAGAATGCATAACTACAGAGAACATGTAAAAGTATTAACAAATTTACAAAAAACAGTCTCTATCACAATACTTGGCACATTTTTCCTTCTTAACTCTGTCTTCAGGGTTTTACTGTGCTTTAAGATTTGGTCTTGTTTCAAATTATAAAAAGCATATGTCTTTATTGGCAGGGCATTGTTGCTTCTTTATTGTGATAAAATGTGTAAATAATGCATTTGTTGCATCTCCCCCTAAAAAAACTGTAACAGCATTTTAAAATAAAATTGTTTGTATTAGAGATCTAGCCAACGTAGACTATCAAGTGTTTATTTTCTATAAAAATGTTTGTTAACATCTGTTTCCCATTCCTACAAATATGGACACAGTTTACATTGAAACGAAATCTACAAGCCTGAACTCAGTCCGCAGGAAATAACTGTGTTAACTGGGTGTCACTAAGGTGGCATAGGAAGCAGTGACTGATAACATAACTGATCAAAATATCACTTTGTGAGCATCAGATCTACAGGAGCATCAGATCTACGTTTTAAGCAAAATTGAATATTTCAGTTGATATTCTCACTAATTAAGTCACCATGCGATTAATACCAGAACATAGGAATTAAGTTGTTAGTGGTATTTGGGGATATCCCTGGGCTTTTGCTTTTAAAACCAAGTCTTCATGTTATCAAAAGAGTGAGATTTTTTAAAATCTTGGATCAATGAATATCTTTATAACAGAAGGACAAAGAACATTAGCCCATGAAACTCTTTAACTATAATATTTGCCTTGCTTTATTCTCCGAGTGGAGAGAGAAGCATTATAATTCTTATACGATGGCATGGGAATGGAATCCACTGGACTAGGAATTCAAGAATGGCTGAGGGTTGGTCCTAGCTGTTTTTGCTAGCACAGAGACCATGCATAAGCCTCTTATAGCACTAGTAATGACTTACCCAACAATAACATTGATTACTATAAAATTAAAGTGATGGTACCTGAAATAACACTTTTAACTGCAAAATGCTGAACAACTGTAGATTATTATTACTAAACCTGTCTCATTTTGGGCTTTGCCACTGACAGACTCTAAGTATGTATAGATATTCTAATTCACCACAGCTAGTAGCTACTGTATGAGTGTCTAGTAGCAAAAAGTCATTCTACTTTAATAACATCAAGATTAACAGTAGGTACAATTTATTGAGTGACTGTTATATGCTGTGTACATTATAATATCAACTCTAATTATTGCAACAAACCTAAGAGATACACATTTTCCCAATTTTGTGAATGAGCAAACTGAAGCTCTGAGAAACCAACTAATTTGCCCAGGATCATACACTAGGTTAGTAACTCCACAGTTACTAACATTCAAACCTCAATTTCTCTAATACCAAAGTCCATATTCTCCCTCACCAAGTGGCATGCCTCTTTCTCTTTTCCTTGCCTCATAAATAGGGTGCAATGTTTTAAGTAGGACTGGAAAAGCTATGAAGCTTCCCATACCTTCTCACCTGACTTAAAACAAAGGGAATTCAAAGAAACACTCTAAAAGGAAGGAGACCTGATTTCCCCCTTCTATTCCTAAAGACTGAAACAAAGTGATCATGAAAAGATTACTTTTCCACCAGAGTTTTAGCTATAAATGGTTTCTTACTCCATGGCTGCTGGAGCCAACCGACATACAGCAGCCTGCAGAACTGTGAAGTGTGTTGGTTTGGTGGCTGTGTTCAGAAACCAATCCTCCCAAGCCTATCACAATAACTTTTCTCTCTCTAGTGTCACATCTGGTGTCATCCCAAGTTTATCTCATTCTTCACATTAAAAAAAGAGAGAGCAAATAAAAGATCCTAAACCTCAATCCCCTCCAAACAGGCTTTCTTTTTCCCTGTGTCTTTCAATCGTACCTAGGAAGTACCACTGAAGGAAGAATTCCTGTGACTGTGCCCTCAGGGAAAGAGCTAAAGGGCCCCCTTCAGCTTGTAGTGCACACGATGACAGAACCTGTCAAAGCACAGTCCCTGGTCCTGCTATTCCACACAAACAACATGTAACGGTTGGTAGATGTTTAATTCCAGGAAATGGACTGGGTTTAGAGATAAATTAGAGAAGGAATTATTTCATAGCAGGTATAAAACCCTCATCACCATCAAATTACCACAAGTTAATAGCTACCAACCTCATAAAGTCACTGCTGGGGATGTTTTTCAGTGTTTATTAGACTTTCTCTAAATAAGCAGTCATTCAGCACAACAGTTTACCCACACACCCAGGTTTATTACAGTTCCCTGTCCAAGGGCACAAGAGAACCAGAAAGCAGATCCAAGACACTATCTGATGCCAGGTGGCCACTAGCCTGGCTGACATTTCTTCCACATACCATACAGCCTCACAACTTGGCCCCAAAACTAGGAAAGTAATCGTCTGGCCTAGATTCCCCATGTTTGATGGCTTTGATGGTGCCATTTGGCTGAAAGATGCACCTTTTCTCCCCCCTCATCTAGACACAGTGTCTAGAGAAGGAAATTAATCCAAAGTAGTGGAACTGAAAAACACAGAGAAATCTCACCAAGAGGGAATGAAAAAGAAAAAAAACAGGAAGGAATGATGTGCCCTATCATTGGACAAGGAGGGAAGATGGGCATTTGATGCCTTACTACACAAAAGCAAAGGCATACAAAGGCAGGACCATTATAGGTCCTTTCTGAGTAAAAGAATCTTGAGTTAGTCTTATAGAGAATTCTTCCATAAAGTAAAGTTGTGTATATTATAATGCATGATTCTTTAAAGGAACCCCTTTTTAAAAATATCCCCCAACCAAAGAACAGAGATTAGAGAGGTACTGTTCCTCATAGTCCTTTTTGTTACCTATATATTTAACGTCTCAGTATTTTTTTCAATTTTATAAAAGAAAACTATTAGAAATGAAAAGAAATTACATCTAGTATTCCTTCAGGAAAAGCCATATACTCCATGTAGTTCTTCAAATATGGTCAAATATTGTCAAAGTAAAACCATGCCATAGAAGACATTCTTTCTTGAATGGGCAGTGGAAGTTGGAAATAACATTTATTTGTTAGCAGATGACAAATGCATGCAAGAGTTTGTTTCAACAACATAATTCATCTTCTTCCTATGAACTTTTCATGAACTTCTGGAAGAAATGGTAAGTCATCATCCCCTAAACCAAGTATGCAGACTGACTCCTAAACCAAACTTGAACCAATGTTGTGAATATGGGAAATTTACAACTTCAGCAAACTCTTGTTTATCCAAAATAAATAAATTAATTAACTAATTAAAATAGGCAATAAAAATCACTCACCTCTGAAATGAACTCTTCTACAAGGTGCTGGTGGTGGAAACTAGAGGGATCCTGTAGTTCTTCCCAGTATTGTTCCCCCAAAAGGTGGATACTGAACTCTGCAATCTGCTCACTTGCCGGTTTTGTGGATTCCTCTATCATTTTCTCAATTTCATTGCTAAGCTAAATTTTTTAGGGAAAGAGCAATAAATGTCAATGTGGACTCATTTAATCAATAAATATTTATAGGCTACCTACTAAATGCCAAACAATGCTCCTAATGCAACTTCTGATGTTGCCCTTTTACAGAGTAAATGACTTTGGAACTAATACATGAACTTTAAAACATAGCCTAATATTAAGTCTACTGGGCATATGTACATTCCTTGAAGCATATAAAGATCAGTTCAGGGGGAGACAAGAAACTTTCCAGGTAGCCAACAAAGTTAACCATTAGCAAATGAATTTAAAATTATTTATAAAAATTAGCCTAGAAGAGTATGTCTCAAACTTTTTGGTTTTAGTATCCTTTTATATTCTTAAAAAATCATTGCAGAGCTGAAAAATTTTGATTTTTGTAGGTTATGTCTATACATATTTACTAAACAAAATAAGAGAAATTTTAAAGTACTAAATCAGTGAATAAGCTCATATTTTATAGAAATTTATAGTATATTCTACAAAATAAAATTAGTAACAAGAATGAAATTTGTATTTTATAATAAGTTCTTTAGTGTCTAATAGATGACTGCTGAATGCTCATATCTCTTTCTGCATTCAACCTATCGCAATAGCTTGTTTAATATGAAGTACATAAGTAATACACAGTTACAAAGGTATATATGTTGGGGAAGGTAGAAATACATTAATAGCCTTTCATAATAACAATAAAAACAACCAGACAACCATAAATCAGAGACAGCCTATAGGGTAGAGGGAGGAAGAGGTATTTGAAGGAGAGAGGGTGGAACACAGGTGACAGTAGTGATGGAGCATGGGTGAATGGGTGTTGAAAATTCTGTGGGGACTACACCTGAGAAAAGAAAGCAAACATTACTTAAAAATGAACAATGGGTCCTTCCCTAGTGGGACAGCAGATAAAAGCACAGCACTGAGGGCCCTCCCTGGTGGCACAGCGGGTTAAAACACAGCACTGAGAAGCTAAAGCCACTTCCGCATGAGTTCGATCCCCACCTGCCCCGGAGGTGACCACATGGCGCGGCAGACCTCTCCTGACCCGCCTGCTACTCCCCTCAGCAGTGTACTTCGTCGATCTGCCTGTTCTGCTCCCCACTCTATCTCTGGTGAATCCTCTCACCCTCCTCATCTCTGGCCTTTACCCCAGTTCTGTATGAATAAATCTTTAAAAAAAAAAAGCACAGCACTGAGAAACTAAAGCCAGTCAGCATGAGTTCAGTCCCCACCCAGGAGGTGATCCACAAGGCGAGGCAGACCTCTTCTGACCTGCCCACTGCTCCCCTCAGCAGTGTATTTCCACTCTGCCTGTTCTGCTCCCTGCTCTGTCTCTGGTGAATCCTCTCACTGCCCCTGCACCTCTGGCCCACATCCCAGTTCTGTATGCATAAATAAATAAATATTAAAAAAAAAAGAGAGAGAGAGAAATGTTTAAAAAAAAAAAGCCAAGTCTTCCAGAAGTGGACAAAGCTGAAACAATTCAAGCAACAAAATATTGTCTTATAATCCATAGAATAAAATATTCACGAATCCATACTGATATTAATAATTTAATAAAGAAATGGGAGAATTTCTCAGTTATTATGTCTTATGACCATATGTATATATGTTTGTGTGTGTGTATACCTACATACAAACAGGTATAGTTACTTAAAAGTAGACCAAAAAGCAGCTAAATTATCCACAAGGGAATAACAAGTGAGTTCACAGTGTTTAGTAGCAACAATAAGAAATAGTGAAATGTAACCTTGACCTGCCCTCCTTCTCAAAAACTCACTCTGGAATCTGCACAGATTTAGAATATTTCCTGGAATAAAGGAATAATAAGGAAATATTAAGATGATCAAAATCTGAGATTGAACCAGTGAAACTTTTACTAAAGCAGTATCAAAAGCAACTATTTCAAAAGGTACGTTTTCACAGAAGAAAACACTGAAACAAAGTCACAGACAAATAATAAAGCTAAAAAATAAAAAGACAAACATTGGGTAAAATTAAACAAACTTTGTTTAAATACAATATAATATTCTAACTTGTGGGGTTAAAAAGAAAAAAGAGTATGAAATACTGGCAAAAAAAAAAAAAAAAGGCATGTTAATCAATAGGGTGATCCTTTGAACTGCCATGTTCTAATGTTCCTGCACTGCTGATGACAAAGATAAATATTTTGAAAAACTTAAACTGTATTAGATTATACATTATAATTTGTAACTACTTAAAAATAGAAATAAGGTAATTTCTGAAATGGAAGGTAAAAATATATTAGGAAAAAAAAACTGAACAGTAACAACTATATACTTCAATAACATTGGCTTCCTCTTCAACTGGAGATACTGACAATCTAATTGCTAGATATCGACATTAAACATCACCAGACCCCAAGTCACTAGTGCATTTACAATCTGAAGCCCTCCCTGGTCAAAAATAAGTCTTCAAGAAATCTCAGCATATTTTTAGTGTTCCATGTCAGAGTTCACATTTCCACAAAATGGAGTATCACTCACACGCTCCTCCTGCTTCTCCAACTTGTTCTCTGGGGTATCCACACTTGGATATGGAGCACTGAGAATAGTGCCTAAGTAGAAAAGCAAAAACATGTCTGAATTCAGTTCCTAAGTCAGAATTCATATTAAAAAAACAAAGAACTTCTTTCAAAACCATTTCTGTAAGTATAAGTTTAAATCTATAAATCATTTGCTTTTTCAGGCTGGAAATCTAGTGTGTTCTAAATCTAACCTCAAGAATATTTGCATAATCTTCCCAGAAGAAGAAATAATTCTGAGTCATTCATTCATTCAAGATTAACTTATTGAGAGCTGACTCTATGTCAGAATCTATGCAAGACATTAGTGTTACAGGCAATAGTTCCTTGAGGAACTATTTAGTAAGGCAGCAAATACTGAAAGAAGAAGGGAAGTAGGTGAAAGTTGGAAGCTGGCAGGAACTGATCATTCTTAAACTGCAGTTCATTGTGACTAGTTTTGAGTACTTTGAATATTTTGAATATTCTGACTTCTTTTGAATATTTTGACATTTCAGTAGAGAGAAGCTTTTTAAAAGTTTTTAAATAATATGACTACCAATTGAGAGAAAACATAGAATTCAAAGGAACATGTTAAAGTGCACCACAGAACACAACCAGAAAAATACTCTGGGAACCACAATAAGACAAGTGACAAATGGTGAACTAGAAAGCTTCCTTTGACTTACACAGTAGGTACAGAGTTGTTTGCCTTACAATAATTTTGTTTTAAGTGGCTTTCTGGATTATATTAAGCTTAATAAAGTACCCACAACAAAATAAGTGAAAAAAGAATTATTTTTTCCTGTAACTCTTGAATAACATATAAAGAGAAAGAAGCATGGTGTTTTTAAAAAATAAGCTAAAAAGTATGTTTTCTGACAAAACTGTCTTAAGCTCTAGATAATTTAAAAAGAGAAGTGGGGGCCCACCCTGGTGGCACAGTAGGTTAAAGCACAGCACTAAGAATCTAAAGCCACTTCAGCATGAGTTCAATCCCTACCTACCTCTAAGGGGGCCCACATGGCATGGCAGACCTCTCCTAGCCTGCCCGTTGCTCCCTTCAGCAGTATACTTCGTTGATCTGCCTGTTCTGCCTTCTACTCTGTCTCTGATGAATTCACCGCCCCTCCACTTCTGGCCTGTACCCCTGTTCTGTATGCATAAGTAACTAAAATCTTTAATTAAAAAAAATAAATAAAAATAAAGCCCCTTCTGCATGAGTTCAATCCCACCCACGTGGTGACCCACATGGTGGGGCAAACCTCTCCTGGCCGCCCGCTGCTCCCCTCAGCAGTGTACTTCCTTAGTTGGCCTGTTCTGCTCCCCACTCTGTCTCTGGTGAATCCTCTCACCGCCTCTGTACCTCTGGCCAGTACCCCAGTTCTGTATGCATACATAAATAAAAATAAATCTTTAAAAAAAGAAAGAAAGAAGTCAACAAAGGCACAAAAACATACCTCCCAATGTTGAGGTATCATCAATAGGAAGTGGCGATGACAATTCAGGACTGGGAAGAAAAATGTTGAGAGTTAATAAAGTGATAGAAATGTAAAGATTTATATGGGGTGTTGTTTTCAAAAAAAGGAAATCACTAAATCTCCAAACAAGGTTTCCCAAACCAAACTGCTGAGTAATGAAAAATTTTAAAAATAGTAGTGTTCATAATTCATATATTTTACATTAATTGATGCCTACTCTGCTAGAATTATCCTACATAAAGTATTTTCCTACTTACTATTTCATCACCCTGCTTTGTTTTTTTCAGTTATTATCACTCTATGAAATTATTTTGTTCATTTATTTATCTATTTCTTTATCTCCAACCATTAGTCATCTTGAATGGCATTGTCTAATAACTTAGTCACTGGATATACATGACAACCTGAATTAACTAAAATTAAAGAACATTTAAAATTCAGTTCTTCATTCATACTAACTATATTTCTCAAGTGCTCAATAGTGACAGATGATTACGGCTACCATTTGGGTCGTACAGGAAAAAGCATTTCCATCAGAAATAACGTTATTAAAATGGCTATATTACCTAACACAACATGCATATTCAATGCAATCCCACCAAAATCCTAAAGGCAGTCTTTACAAAAGTAAAAACAAAATATCATGGAATTTATTTAGAACTTTGAAGTAAATTTATGTGAAACAACAAAAGATAGCAAAAAAACACTCGTGAGAATAAAATACCAAAAGAAAGGTATCATGTTCCTTGACATCAAACTATACTATAAAAAGATAAGCTTGGGGTTGGAATAAAGACACACAGATCAAAGGAACACAATTGAGAGCCTAGAAATAAAATCACACACATGCAGACAACAAATTTGTGGCCAAGGAGCTAAGAGCTTAGAATGAAGCAAGGAAATTCTCTTCAATAAATGGTGCTGGGAAAATTGCAATGCCTCATGCCAAAGAATGAAATTAGACTACTAACATCATACACAAATATGAACTCAAAGTGGATTAAGTATTGGATGTAGGACTTAAAACCATAAAATATACAGAAGAAAACGTGAGAGATATGCTCCTTGACAACAGCCTTCGAAATGTGTTTGTGGACTTGATTCCAATGGCAAGGGCAACAGAGATAAACATCAAATTAAAAAAACATTACATCAAATTAAAAAAACATTAGCATATTGAAAGAAACATGCATCAAAATGAAAAGACATCCTATCCACTGGAGAAGATATTTGCATAGCCTCATCAACATGGGGTTTATATATCTAACAGGGGTTAGTGTTCAAAGTATACAAAGATTGCATACAAATCAATTCAAAAACAAACAACCCAAAATGGTCAGAGGACACTTCTCCATGAAGACATACAGACAGTAAATCACACAAGAAAGAATGTTGACATCTCTTATGAATAGAGAAATGCAAATAAAAAAACAATGAAATAGCTCCTTAAAACTGTGAGAATGGTTATTAACCAGGCGAGAAACAACAGAGGTTGAAGAGGATATAGAGAGGGAAACTTGTATATTTTTGGTGGGATTGAAAATTAGTGCACTCACTATGGAAGCAATACAGAAAAAAAAAAACCTAAAAAATTAAAAAAAGAGAAATTCTATATAATTGATCCAGTTACCCTACCTCTGGTACTTACCTGAAAAACACTAATTGGAAGAGATACAGGCACCCCATTTTTACTGCAGCATTATTAATAATGGTCAAGAATTGGAAACATCCTAAGTACCAATCAATCAATAGATGGAAAAAATGTGTTTTTTACACAAAATTGATTACTATTCAGCTATAAATAAAGGTGAAATCCTGCCATTTTTGCAACAAAAAAATCCTGCAATTTGGATCTAGCAGGAATTATGCTTAGTGAAATAAGTCAAAGAGAGAAAGATAAGCCCCATATGGTTTCATTTGTGTGGAACATAGAGAAAACAAACCGAACAAGTAAATAAAACAAAAATAAATTTGTGGGTCATAAGACCAATTAGTGGTCACCAAAAGGAAAGAGGGATGGGGATGGGTAAATCAGAAAAAAAGAACTATGGTATGGTGAAGGACAGATTTGGTCTCTTAGTAATATACCTAATGTAGTATAAACATATTAATTCTCAAAAATGAAAACCTGAAAATTATGTAATGTTATAAGCAATGTTACTTCAATAAGAAAATTAATTTTGTTATTAGTGACTAAAATATGAAAAAAAAAACTTGCAAAAAATTTCTGGCTTTTAAAAAACTGTCTAGAAAAAAAAATATTAAGCCACTGCAAGAAACCAATTACTATTGGTTACTTATATTGCATTTTCAGGAAACTGCTTACTAAGTGAACTCTCACCTAGAAAAATCTAAAGGTATATGACCCCTGGGTAAGTCATTATGATAAATGATGAGCACAGATTGATTACTTGGGAAAAGAGAAAGCATCATGAAACTACTTTACAGGAGGTAAAGCAGAAAAAAAAATGGGATTCAGGTGAAAATGGAATAGACACTGACATAATCATGCCTGAATAGTCTGTTCATAGTCCACAGTTCACAACCCTTTCAAAATACCTTCATTTTATACGTGAAAATATCAAAATCCAAATGGACAAAGCAATTGTCTCAGTACAGACAGTACCTCAACAATAAAAATATAATAGTCATTTCTACTATGATGTCATTTGTGAAATTGTTTCATAATACTAATAAATGTTAGGAGACAACTGAGCATAATGCAAATTTCTCTTTCACTTATACATAGTTTCTTAGTGAGAAACACTAGAGGAATGTAGAAAACTACATCCAGTTGAATTAAATCACAGACAACAACACAAAACACACACACGCACACACAGTACCTCAAATATCTTCCAGCTACTCCTGTGTTATAAGCCACACCTATGAACATACATTGCTACAACTTCCATCCTATTTCAGATAACATTCCTTCTACTACTTTACAATAACTTACAAGCTAATTTCCAATGTCTACTTTCACAAGCAAACTTCAGAGCTTCTTCCATGTCAAGTGCCAGATGTAGCATGGTATTTACTTATTAAGCACACATGATGTGTAAAAAGTGCTATTATTTGCATTAGGTTAAAAAGTGAAGTAACAGGTAGAGCTCACTAGATATTTAATCCACCCCCTATGTGTTGAAACAGCAATCACAAGGAACCTCTCATCTCTTCTTCCTCTCAATGGTTAAAGCCCACCCCAAACAACCATGTGGCCCTACCTCTGAGTAGGTACTTACTCCCAGGCCATCATAGACTCAGAGGTGATATTAGCTCTGTGGGTGGGTGAGACTACGCTGCATCCTACTTCCCTCCTATGTGTTTATTACTATCTTGAAATCAAACTACTATCCACATGTACCACCCTACTATGCTTTTTCCTGGTGACTCTGCTGCCCAGACTGGTACACTGACTCATCTGCTTCATTTTCAACTTGCCTTTCCTTCAATTTGATGCATAATGGATTCTGGCTGGATTGAATGCCCTGGTGGTGTTTTTCTAAATAATCACCCACAAACCGGCACCATCTATATAGTCTGAGTATGGGTAGAATTAAATATCTTTAGCCCTTGTGGATTCAAAACTCCTTATCTTCCATTACCTGCTTTGTACTGCTATTACTTGAGCCAGAAATAAATTTAACCCTAAGCCTAAAGGCCAATAGAACCAAAAATCATAACATTGGAGGATTGAGATTGTGTTATTCCTGTTTTAAGATCCTAATCATCATCATTCAATAAAGTGAGTCGCACCACCCATCATTTAGTAAATGACGCTCCACTACAGTGTACTGTTTTGCAACAACTTTACCCTTCACCCATAAGCCTCAACAACAGTAGGTCATTCCATATTCCATTTCCACAAATCTATTTTTCTCACCCAAGAGAGAGGAGCAAGTCTGCCTCCTGTGAGGTCAGACAGTAAACAAGCACAGTGGCTGTGATGGTGGTCCGGAAAGGCCTCAAGGTGAGGAAAAGTATTTGGACTTACCCACAGGCCTGGTCACTGCAGGGACTGGCAAGAAGAAAGAACCATTAAATTTGGGGTGAGTCCTGGAGATGTATGATCCATTCTCTGTTGCCAAACATGAACTAACTTAGGGGGAAAAAAACACTCACCTGCTTACAGTTTCCTTTGTGTACGTCAGTTTCTAAGGAAAATAAAGATGTTAAAATGACTGCCAGAATAAATTAATGACAGTTGTAAAATGGTAATTAAAACTTATTACAAAGAGAACATGAATACCCTAACATTACATAAGTTTTGTTATTATTCTCTTTGGTTAGACAAATAGTTAAAGCAAAGCATCTAAAAATACAAAGATGTTCGTGTGTGTAACTGTGGGAACATACCTACAGTAGGCTCCTGTGCTCTCATAATCAGTGAAGATTAATAGACTTTGCCCGCTCAACATTCCAAAATAGACTACAAGTTAGACATGGGTAGAGTTTTATATTAATCTTCCATGAAATTAGAATCAAAATATTTTGTGATCTAGCTTATTTATATTAACTCTCTTCCTAGAATAATATAAACACACATAAAGTAATTGATAAATCTGTTTCTCCAAAATTCAAACAAAAAGACAAATTGTATCAATTAGTGAATTATTCCACTGGCATATTATTGCCAAAGCAAAGCATCCCAAATTCCCTCCAAATGGGTGGCTTACATTGACCTCTCCTTGATTAAGCTTTGAGACTTTGGGATCTTGCTTGTCAGTACAGTTTCAATGGTTTCACATCATGCTTTTTCAGATCACTGGAAATCTGGACAAATTTGTTAAATACTACTCAATTTTCATACATGGCTCAACTCAATATGTTCAAAAATAATCTCATTTCCCCCTCTTCTTACCCCAGCATTTACAAAGCTGCTTCTCTGATTTCTCAGTCTTTGCCATTCAAGATTTCCTGTTCCATTAGTTTGGTTTTATCCCACTGCCCACCAATCCACGACAGACTCCTATCATGCTCCCTTTCTCTAGCTCATGGTCTAGTTAGGACCATTATTCTTTTGGGCCTGGAGTTTTAAAGTAGCATTTCTCTCCTTCTCCAGTCGTGTGCCCTCTAATTCATCTTATAGTGATCACTCATAATGGTCCTTTTAGCCACTGTGACCCGCCCACTTAAAATCTTTTAATAGTTACCTATCATCTGAAGAGTTAAACACCAATTTATTAAGTTGTCTGCTCTTCCAGTTTGATCTCCTGTCATTCCTAAGCTTCTGGTGTTCTGATCCAAGCAATTCCCTACAAACTCTTGGCTTATATTGTCCCCTCTGTCTAGAATGTCCATCCACCTCAAACTCTTCCTAATTTAACTAACTTGTGCTTTTATTTAAGACCTAATCCAGGTAACACATTAACCTCATGTGCATGTTCTACTAAATAATCGTTTAGAATGTATTTTCTATACCTTTAAATCTAAGCTTATTAAAAATACTAGTGAGAAACAATTTCAAAAGTAATTAACAACTTATACAGTCTAACTTTTTTCTGCTTCACTAAAGTATGTAATACTTAAAAACAGTATTTAAAGTAGTATTTATAGTTTATAAATTGCAACAACTAGGAAAAGGATATTGCTAGCTGTTGTTTATATAATTTTATTTAAACAAGTATCTATTGCATGTTTACTTTAACATGGACAAAATAAATGAATAATGACATAACCTTTATTCTTCAGGCCATAGTTCAGTAATTAATTTCATATAAATTTATAATAAAGTGTAAAAAAAATAAAGAATAAAAACTACGCTAGTCAAAGAATTATGAGAGTTATATTTGTTGCGTTGGGGATGGTTCCTCACAACAGAGGTTACATCAGAATTGAGATGTATAGAACTTAAAACAGATAATTGGGGAGACACAGAGAAGGTATATCATACAGCATAAACAAGTTCCCTTATCCCTTATCCCACTGCTTTCTGTGGTTTCTGTTACCTGCTGACAACTGCTATATGAAAATAAGATATTTTGAGAGAGAGACCACATTCACACAGCTTTTTTACAGTATATTATTAAACTGTTCTATTTTATTATAATTTATTACTGTAATCTCTTAATTAAAAATTAACTCATAAATTAATATTTATTGTAGGTATGTATGTATAGAAAAACATATAATATATATAGGGCTTGATATTATCCATGGTTCAGGCATCCATCAAGAGCCTCTAAACATATCCCTTACAGATAAGAGGGGACTGCTATGTACCTAAACAGTTTTAATTTCTTGTCATAAAGTCATGCATGCTATGAAAAGAGGAAGGGGCAAGTAATTTGTCTATATGCAAATCTTACCCCATCTTTTCTAAAAATAAACTAATGTCTAAAACAGAGAGGAAAGGAAGCAAATTAGAATCATATATATACTTTAATAATATTTATGCAATGCACTATATTTTTAATTTTAGTTGTTGGTATCCAATCTGAACTAGTAAAACTTTACAAAAGATGTTTGACTCTTACCGATTTACATTTTTAGCCCAAATACTTGCTCTGTGTTTTGTTTCTAAGTGTTCACATTTCTGAACAAGGCCAAGGTTCTCATTACACTAACCACATGTATTTAAATGGCCAGACTCAGGAAGATTAGACACCATGCCCTAAGGAAGCACACTCAAAAAGCCTAAAAAAAAAAGTAATGTAAAGATTGGCCACTTGTTTTAAATTTTTTTCCCTCTTCCCATCCTCCTTCTTTTTTCTTTAGTCTTATATTGTGCACACACATTCCTACAATAATGTGGCATTTCCTCCCCTTGTTATATTTACCTTCATAATTAAACGTCTGTGTTCTACAGATTGACTAAAATCTGTGCCCATTTCAAATATAGTTGTTACTCCATTCTCACACAAATCTATCCAGTAATGATATTCTTCATGTCCAGGGAGTCGATCCCAGAAAGTCCTGAAAGCTTCCCAGACTGCTTCCTGACACACTGTAAAGTAAATGGAGAGGTTTTTCTTTTTTAAAATAATTCTGTTTAATATTTTTCAAATTATTTGACTTGACTCAAGTTATTAAAAATTATTTGATATATATTTAGTAGTAAAAAGCATACATATAATTAATAAGCATTTGCTCTATGCCAAGGTGACCTGTTAATATTTTTCTTTTTCTTTTATTTATTTTTTGACATTGCTGTTAATTTTTGTATGTCACTTGACTTCTTCCCTCAAGCATAGTTCCTGTAATTCTCCCACCACCAAAGCACCCATGATCTACCACCACAGTCCCTTGTGCTCTTCCCTTCTCTGTGTTAACCCTCTCCTGTTGTATGTCTCAAATCTATGGGCAGCTTCCAAGTTTTGTCTTTTTCCTGACCCTTTGTTTGATTTCTCTACATTCCATATGTAAGTGAAATTGTCCATTATTTCTTTTAAAGTTAACAGTCTTTGGGGTTCTCAGAGTGATCAAATAAATGCTCAATAAATAATTGTTGAAGAAATGCATGAATGAAAAAATCTGATTTCATGATCATTTCATTACCTATCATCACTTTAGTTTACTATCCCCACATCCATACTAATGCTTCTTTATTGGCTATTGAGTAAAAAAGCAAAATACCTAAGGTATACATTATAGCCAGTTAAGTAATTTTGGTTAGTAAACATAAATGCATACCTAATAAAAGAAAAAGAGAATAACTCAAATAATAAAAAGGTATGAGATTGAGGCCAATAATTTTAACTAAGAATAAATCTTAATTATGTTGCTTTAGCATCCATTATAAAATGACATCATTTTAGACATAAAAAAGTTTTGTATATACCAGTTAGAATGTAAATAGCATAAATCTATAAACTAACTATAATATATACAATTTGATTATATTTCATACATATAATTAAGTACATTTACCTTAGAAAATATATGTATGGGTATAAACAAATGGCTAACAAAAAAAGTAAAAACTAAAGTTTATTTAGTAACATAAACTAGTATTTTTGAAACACTTAAAAAGATTTAAACATTTCCTCTTAAAATAATGCAAACATTTCTCTGAAGCTATGGAAATACTATGTTCATAGAAAGTTGTTTTTCCATCTAACAGAAAGATATATTTGGTTCAGTCTCTTTCTAAATTATCACAGATTTTTAACTATGAGATATAACAAGTGTGACAGAATTATGCATGAATCATCCAGGGTAAGGGTGTGACTGCTTACCTCGTACTTTGAAATATTTCACATGGTTTGCCACAGCCTCTGATACACTTTCATCTGGGCAGATTTTCACTCCATTAGGAAACCAAGTAGATCTCCTTCTTCTAAACAACCACTGTCTCTCAGCTTCTCTGTGGTCCAGAGGTGCTTTCTTTTCAGTAGATAGAGAAGGGACTGTGGATTCCAGGTGGGTTGTGAGAAAAGAAACTGCAGTCTTGGGTTTTTGGAGCTCTTTGAAGGATAAGTAGGTTTGTGCTACACAGTGAAACCATAAACAAGGCTTTTGATAAAGATACAGCAAGCAACAATAAAGAAAAGCTTATATTTGTGACACATTTGGATTTTGAAGTCAATGTTCAGATTATAGACATAGCTGTTAAAAGAGTAGGAATGACAGTTTAAATTTGTTCTCCATTAAGTTCCAACTCTTTATTTCAAGATTGTTAGCTATTGAAATAAATGTACATCCAAAAGTTCAACACAAGAAGTAGTAGGTAATAAACTATTTTAGAACTACCAGTGAATTACTAATGAACAGAGAAAGTAAAAATATTTGGGAGATTTTAAAACAACTTAATGAAGCAGTATCAGAGTAACAGAATTGTGTTTCATTCAAATTCTTCCAGCAGTCAACAACATCAAATATTTTTAGAAAGAATATACTACAGATATAAAGAAAAATATAAATGATGTAGATTTTTAAATACCTGTGGATGGATGGTTTTCTTCTGTCAGGACAAATAGCAAAACACCCAGAAAAATCTTAACAAAATGAGGAAACATAATCATTTGGGCCCAAACTGAAGGAATGAGAGGCCAAAATACTTAAGTACACCAAGCCTTAAGAACCTCCAGTAAAAATATGTTACAGGATAAGTCTACAAGTTTGAGATTTATACCTGTTCCAAAACCATTTTAAATTAAAATACCTCTCACTTGTTTTCTGAACTAACCAGCATGCCTTGAAAGCAGGAGAGATAAGCCAATTAGAACAGATGGGAAGAGACAATCACTCCTAATCTAGCCAGCTAAGCTCTTTACTAACTCCTCCTTGCCTCTAACAAGTTCATTTACAAATACTATATTTCCATATAATAAACTTTTCTGAATATATTATTCAAACTTAAGTTTGACTAAAATCAGAGTTATGTTTTAGAAATAAAGCTCATCAAGTATACTTTAAAATAGATTCTTACAACATGGATAGAACTAGAGAGGACTGTACTAGATGAAATAAGTCAGGAGGACAAAGACAAATACCAGATAATTTCACTTACATATGAAATACAGGGAAACAAAGTAAAGGAACTGATGATACTAAAAACTAGAAACATGACTACAACACTGAAGCTAACAAATTTAAAAGACCATTAAATATGTGGACATAGAAGCATTGTCAAAATATTGGTGAGAAATTCCTTTGCCAAAATTTACTAGTGAAAGAAAAATCTTGAAAATTTTATTAGCAAAGTTCTTTTTAAAAAAGTTTCAAGAGAAGCTTCCTGTTGACAATTCAGAGTAAGGGAGAACTTCCAGACAAGAAGTTTTAGTTGCAAGTTATTCTGTTTGATGGCCTCATGAAAGCTAGAAAATCTGAGGACCACAGAATTCTAGAAATATGTCTGTGCTTAGAAAGAAAGCCTGAATACAAATTGTTTTTACCATTTCACCTATGAAAATTCTTTGTAAACTTTGTAATGTAGTGCATGCTATTTGTCTTATATTAAAAGCATTCACACAGTCGAAAGGTTTCAAGCCTTGGAATTCTCTTTCGTACAGACACCAAACGGAATAAATTTTCAATAAATTATTAAAAGTATTTAAGAATTTTTTAAAAATGCACTTCTAAAAATGTAAGATTTCAGAAACTTTTAAGTAAAATAGTATGAAAACTCAGCTTCATTTGCTTCTAATATCTTTCTACCACTACTAAGGAGGCTTCTCATTTTTTAAACTCATTTTATCTTAACATGATATAGTTAACTGTAGCATTCTTAGAAGAAGTACATCTATGATACAAAGCAATGGTGATTAGTGTCTTAAGATTGAGTCATGGGAACCCAAAAATAAGACTAATTCCAACTGGAAAAGTATGGGTGATTTATTGGAGAAGATCTTGTCAGATGGGCTTTGAAGGGTGACATTTCAGTGCAGAGGTAGAAGTGGTTAAGTGAGGGATTGGGAACTAGAAAAGAATTTCCTGGTCATGATCAGTAAGGTGAAAATTATATTTTTTATATGGCAAACAGAAATGGGCTCTAGCAGGAACAGCAGCACAGGGTAGGTAGGTTGAGAAAAGAAGCTAAAGATGTTAATTGTGGTAGATTATATAATAGCTTAGAAGCTTAGAAGATTTTACAAAAAATTTTTGATAAGTTTTTAATAGATGAATAGATTATCCAATGTTTACTCAGAAAGTATTTCTTAAATTTCTATTTATAGAGATTCTTTTTAGGAAATAGTTCAAAATCTCATCTGATAGTCCTTGAAATTTGTTACATCTCAAGAAATGTCCCCAAAATTGTAAGCAGCTAAGAAACTAAACATAAAACTATGTGCTTTAAAATTAACAAGTACTGGGCCCTCCCTGGTGGTGCAGTGGGTTAAAGCACAACACTAAGAAGTTAAAGCAATGTCAGCATGAGTTCAAACCGGGTTCACACCCTGGAGGTGATCCACATGTGCAATAGACCTCTCCTGACCTCTAATACCGCTCCCCTCAGCAATGTACTTCGTTGATCTGCCTATTCTGCTCCCCACTGTCTCTGGTGAATCCTCTCACGGCCCCTGCACCTCTGGCCTGTACTCCAGTTCTGTATGCACAAATAAATAAATCTTTAAAAAAAATTAACAAGTATCAAATTCCTTCATCCCTACCTTAATTTTCTATCATATAGAGAGACTCAAAAGTTTCCTGAGTGTTTACTAACAAACACAGGAAATGAAAAATGTTTCCAGTTTTTTAAGGAACTTAGACTAAATAAGAAACATATACACAATGAAATTTAAGAGAAGTTTATACAAATTGTTATAGAAAAAGAGGACATGGGAATGAATAATTCAGTTTGAGCAAGGATGGGAGTAGAGCCATTTGAGTTCTACTTTGAAAAAAAATTACTAGTGAAAAAGAATACTCTAAGAAGGAGTAGATATATATAAACATGAGGAATGGAAGTACAATCTTGCAATGCCCTTTGCACACAATGTCTGTGATCTTAGGTCTTAGGTCTAAAGTGATTTCCATACTCACCAAAAAACAGTCCAAAACACAATCAAGTAAAGCATCTTCATCTAGAATCCTTCAGGAGTCCTAACTGAATTTTCCAAAGCCCAAAAGGTGTACATTCAGTTATAACAGAAGTGACCACTTGGGTGGGGTACAGACCACACCAGCATAAAGAAGCCTCACACCAACAGATTTTTATCTTTTAACAGCTCTTGGTCAGTTTTCATATTTCCAAAAGGACAGTCCAGTTACAAGAGACTCTACAGAGAGAAACAGAAGCTGTATCCTTTCCAATAGGACTTTATAAAGATCTGGTCAAAGAGAACTTCAGAACACACATGTCCATTCACAGTTCTTCTAGTATAGACACTCTTCAACAATTAAAGATTTATTTATTGCAATCAAAAAATATTGGTACAGTACTGAAAGAAAACCCAAGATCATTTACTACACAGAAAGGTCCTACACTTGGTAGTAAGTCAAAAGTAATTACAGAATAAATGAATGATTTTATAATACTAAAAGTAGGTGACAGTGGAAAGATGAAGACTTGGAACCAGATTTGAAAACAGTTTTCTGTATAACAAGTCTAGACTATTTTCTCTGCTAACATAAAAAAAAAGTTGATTTCTAATGTATTAAACTTTTCCTAGTCCTTAAAAAAAAAAAGAAATGCTATGACTATTTTACCAGAGAATATTAAAAACTATTCTATACCCATTTTCCCCCATTAGATTATAAATAACTCAGGAATAAGAGTTGTGATTCACTTATGGTACTTAGAAAATTACCTGTTAGAAGTAGTTGCTCAAAAAATATTACCTGAATTAACAATCAAATCAATTACATGTGCCTTAAAATCAGAAGAAAATTAATCAATTATATATCATGCAGTGGGTATCAAGTAACTTTAAATTAATTTCTAAGAATGGACCAAGTTTCTTAAAGAAAAAAATGACACCTCAGTTTGATGAATTGGAAACATGTTTAATATAAAATGTTGATATTCTCAAAGCATTATTTCCACATGAATTTAGGAAAATGAATTTTAAACAATCTTCAAAACATGATAAAGAACAGTGGTATTTTTGAAAAACATATAAACAAAAGAGTTAAGAAGTCACAAGAACATGTATTATATAATTGCTTTCCAAAATTAGATGTACAAAATAATAGTCATCTTTAAAAGTCCCCTACCACACAGGAAAATTGGGAATGAAATATTTAATAATAGCCAACCACACAGGAAACCCACAAAGGACAAATGTCGCCTAACAAAAAGATGATGACAAGATTAATAAAAGCTTAAGTACAGAGGCTTAACTGACAATCTCAAGTCACATGATTTTGAAATAAAATCCAAATTTTATCTTCCTCTTAAATTGCCTTTGCTTCACTGCTTTATATACAGCTACAATGTAAATCTAGATGATTAAAACACAAGATTAAAATGTCTTAAAGCAGTTTTGTTATGTGAGCAATACAATAAAATCACTCCTCAAAATATTCCTGATAACATTAGAAATGTTGTGAAGAGAATATAAATCACCATCAACAATTCAGAACTAAGACCTGAACATTTAATAAAATATGATGTTCCATGGTGCTCAAAGGCCTCTAAAAACTACAATTTAAAAAATATAAAAGCAATGACAGCAATCTGGCTTTGCAATGAATACTGGATAAGCAGCTATAAAATTATATATTTATTCTAACAATAAATAAGATTTTGAGGGTACTTTTTTAAAAAGTTATGGGGACATTGATTTTATCTTCTATACTTACAGTATCTGTGTACATATATTCTGTGATAATACAGGAGTCAACATTTATATAGCTATACCCCAAATTAAGTTGAGCTACATATATAACTTTAAAAAACCTAGTTTGGATAGCTAAAATTTTTGTTCCAAATCTCTCCTTAAATGAAAGAACTAAATTTTCAGATCCCCACATATGACATCAAAAGAAATGGGGAAAAAAATTACAACAAAGTAACAATTCCATTTAGCAGTTGAGAAAAAAATAAGCTGCGCTTTGAAAGAGTGAATTTTTACCATCTTCCTAACATTATAACTTGTTACACCATACAGAAGGGATGCCGTAAATGGCATTTTCTGAAGTCTTGATACTGAACTTTTTATAAAAATACACAGTATTTATACTGCATGCTTGAGTTGCAAAGAATAGAATTATAACATGACTTGTCAACAAATTTGACAAGCACTAGGGCTGACAACAGGGAGGACCTGAAGCCCCTTCCTTAACCCCCATTATGTGGAAGGACAGATCACAAAATTTTATTATCTAAAAAAACATTCCCACATTACATGTGCTATTGCATAATTCAAGCATATTTATCATAAAAATATCAATATTTATGAAATCTTAATTTCTATCTGATAATAAGTTTATATCACTCCCATTTCCACTCCATCTATGAGATCCCAACAATTCTAGTAATATATCTGATATATTTTAAATAACACTCACTGACTTATAAAACTACTACAAGTTATTTTCTTCTCTGTGAGCTGGCTAACACAAATGCTGGTAAGCGGCTTTCCAGTAATCGTATAGGACATCTGTGTCAAGTCTGTGCAGATTAACTAGCTACTGCTGGCCTTCTGTTGCTGTAAATGAAGTTTCAAAATGAGCTCTCGAATGTCTTCCCGTTTGGTCTTTATTACATGACGAGGAAACCATTTCTCCAATTGAATCGGAAGCTCAAAGTTAACAATAGGGTCCTAAGGAATAAAGAAAACTACAATAACTTTTAGCAATATAATTTCAAATTTTCTCTAATTTCATTTTGACAAGAAATGAAGAATTTCTGTTTTTAAATAACAGCTTTACTGAAATATAATTTCACGGATCATACAATTCCCCTAAGGGACTCAACTGAACAGCTTTTAGTATACTGTGTAAACAGTTTACAATCGACAACACTCAATTAAGTTGCTAAATTTGAACATCAAAATTAAATACCTCTGTTCTGCCACAATGCACATCTAGATAGATTAGTACACACAGAATTGGTAAATAGAGAATGATCAATACAATGCAGACTTCATAGTTTTATAGGACTTTTGTTCACATCTTCACCAGCACCTGGATCTACCCATTCTCAGAGGTATGTGGTGCTCTCACTGTGGTTTTGATTTGCTTTTCCCTGATAGTGATGATGAACTTTTTTAAGCACCTGCTGGTCCTCTGTATGTGTTCTTTGGAGGATTGTCTACCTAATTCTTCTACTCATATCATGATTATGTTATCTGCTTTCTTTTGTCAAGTTATGTGAGTCTTTTGTAGATCTTTGATGTTGGTCCCTTGTCTGATGTATGGTAGCAAATATTTTCTTCCTTTCAGAAGGAAGAAAATTTCTTCCTTTCAGTTGTTTTAGTGAGTTTCTTTCACTGTGCATTTTTTTAATTCCATGTATTTGTTTATCTTTACTTTTCTTTCCCTTGCCATTTGAAGTTCCCCAAAACATCCTGAAGTCAATATTGTGGAGTGGTTTGCCTGTTTTCTTTTATGTATGTTAGGGCTTTTAGTACTATATCCAAGTCATTGGTGTAGTTTGAGTTAACTTCTAACTACAGAGTGTGACAGTAGTCTTATTTTATTTTTTTGCATATGGCTGTCCAGTTTTCCCAAAATCATTTGTGGAAGAGACTTTTCTTTTTCCATTTCATATTTAGGCTCCTTTGTTGTAGATACTGGTCCATATAAATCTGGGTTTGTTTCTGGACTCTTAATGCTATTCAATTTAGTTTGTGTATCCATTTGCATTGTTTTAGATTACTATAGCTTTGTTCAGTTTGTAAATTATATAGTTTAAAGTATGGAGTGTGATACTCCACCCTTTTTTTTTTTTTTTTTTTTTGTCAGAATTGCTTTGGCTCTTCATATTCTGCTGTGTTCCCAGATAAACACATAATGTTCGTCACATTTCTTTGAAGAATGTTACTGAAGTTGTGATAATGATTGCACTGAATCTGTATATTGCTTTAGGTAAGATGGTAGTTTTGGCAATGCTAATTCTTCTAATCTATGAGCAAAGCATATCTTTCCATTTTTTCATGTCTTCTATTTCTCTTAATGATGTCTTATAATTTTCATTGTACTGGTCCTTCACCTCTTTTGTTTAATGTCTTAAGTATTTAATTCTTTTTTGATATGATTATTAGGGGATGATGTTCTTGATTTCTTTCTCTTCTAGTTTACTATTTGCATATAACATTGAAGCTATTTTTTAACTTACGTTGTTCATTTTGTCCAATATGGTCCATTTTTTATTTCTCTGCTCAGGTGTCATCCTCATAAATCTCCCACCACACCACCCATGAAGAATCACCACAGTCCCTTGTACTCTTCCTGACCCTGTTTTGACTTATCTCCTTCCTATCCCCTGCTATTATATGCCTCAGATCTATAGTCTGCCTATAAGCTTTGTTTTTTTTTTTTGATCCTTTATCTAGTTTTTCCATTGTGAAACTATCCCATAATTTTCTTTTTCCTTCTGATTTATTTCACTTAGCATAATCCCTCTAGCTCTATCTATGTTGCTGCAAATGGGTGAGTTCATTTTTGATTGCTGGCTAGTATTCCATCTGGTTTTGGTCATTTAGATTGTTTGTATATCTTAGCTACTGTAAACAGTGGCACAATAAACACATGAGTACAATTTTCCTTTTTCCTTTCAAATAAATGTTTTTGTGTACTTTGGGTAGATTCCTAGGCGTGGAATTGCTGGGTCATATGGTATATCCTAATCTGAGGAACCTCCACATAGCTTTCCATAATGTTTGGATCAAACTGGGAATATAATTTTTGTAGATTGATTTTTATAAACTATCAATTTGCTTAACTGATTGTTTCTAGTAGTTTTTTAGTGGAGTCTTTAGGGTTTGCTATGTACTTTACAATATCATCTGAAGTGATAGTTCCACTTCTTTTTCTCAGTGTGAATTCCTTTCATAGCTTTATTTTACCTAATTGCTCTAGCTAGGATTTCCAATACTATGTTGAGTAATAGGTAAAAGAGAAACCATTCTCTTTTACCTGACCTTAGAGGAATAAGTTTCAGATTTTTCCCACAGAATATGTTAGCTGCTGGCTGTTTGTCATATATGGTTCGTTATTATGGCTACATATTTTTCTTATTCCTAATTTTTTTAGTTATCATAAAGGATATTGAATGTTAACAAATGCTCTCTGCAGCTAGTGATCATATGACTTTTGTGTTTTCTTTTGTTCTCTGGGTGAATTACATTCATCCCTAATCAAATTAAAGTTTTTATCTGCTTATTCCAATACCTGGATTGTATGTAGTTTTATTTCTTTTTCTTTCTTGATTACCTGTAATATTTTCCTGATTCTTTGTTTTCCCAGTAATTTATGCTTGGTGATTGTAAATAAAAAACTTATGATGATGGATATTAACTAGACTTACTCTGATGATGATTTCACAATAAATACAAATTATGAATCATGTTGTATATCTGCAACTAATATATTACATCAATTACATTGGAATGTGAAAACTATCATTTACATCTTTACATACCTTGAAGAAGCTTTCCACATACTGCAGTAAATATACTCCACAATCACTGCTATTATCTTGTTTAGGAACTTTAGGACATAGGTCCACCATGTTTGTTTTGCTGAATTCACGACGAGTTTTTCGTTTAACTTCCCACTCTACCTCTAAGTACCTTAAAAATTAAAGAGTAGAGTGACCAGAATAGAAATCTATTTACTATCATGCAATATTTTCACAAATGTAGAAAAACATTTGCTGACAGATGTGCTGCTTCAAGCCAAATTAGTGCAAATTATAATATGTGATTCTTCAAAGGCACTTCACATATCACATGGTGAGGGTATCTTTAGGTTTAGCAATTCTCATATTGCTTCAGCAATTTTAAGGTAGCTTCAAGATTACTGAGGTTTTAGACAACAAACTGAATGGTGAAACTGCCATTACTTACTCCCGCAAATTCTGAACTGTGTTTTGTATAGAAGCAGCTTTCAAGGAATCTAGTATAAGAATGCAAGGCCTACAAAAAGCAAAGGAAGAAGTCACAATATAAATATTTGTATATGAAATAAATTTAATATGAAAAAATATAACATATACCTACCTTTTACACATTTTCTTTGGTATTGATGTATTCATCTCAGTACTCTGAAATAACAAATTTTTAAGATTTTGCATTTAAAACTAGTTTGATTAAATATTCAGTTGTTTTATAAAATATTTCAAACAACTGTGAATTAAAATTTCAGTAAGAATTCTTTTCATCATCTGAGGTGAGCTAATTTCATTTTTCAAAAATTTACTGCTTTATTTTTTTCTACTAGTGAAATGATGCTTTTTTTTCCAAATCATATAGTAAATTACTATAGAATCCATAGGTAAGATTAAAAATTTATGAATATACTTTTATATGTAGTTTCAAGAGGTTATGGGGCTAAAAAAAAGTATAGAACTTTAATTACTTTTATTCAGAGTTACTATCTTAAGCAAAAATAAACAAGTTAATTTAACCTGCCCTCTCTTTACATACATTCTCTAATTCAGTACAGAATGTTGGTAGAGACATTTTTTTTTCCTGTGAAGCGCAATAGCAGAGTATTAATGTGTACTAAGGGAAACAGGATGAAGTATTTTGTTGATAAATTTGACAAACAACAGATCAAACTTAAGCAGATTTCTTTAAATTTGCTAAAGAAGAACTTCTCTGTACCTTTATTATTCAAAAATCTCTAAGAAAGGTATAACATACAAATTTTGAATTTAGAACTTTAACTCTTTTTATCACACACTGCACCAAAGAACAAATGTCTTAAGAAACCCAATTTCAGAAGCCTACCTTTAGAAAAAGGAACTCCTCTGTCTTTCCACTATAGCAACAGTAAAGAAAACTCCCTTCTGTCCATTTTATACTAGTGACATAGAGATACAGGCCTATATTGTGAGGCAGCTGCTAGCCACATTAAAAAAATTAAATTAGGTGGCTACCATGATCAACTAAGACACTGAATATAAACCATGCATGCCAGTTTGGGGACACAGTTTTGGGAGCCAAAGAATAGTTAATAATACCTATCTTATCCTCAGAAGTCATATAGATCAGTCTACTCTAGATGACTTTTACCAAAAAATCATAATAATGGAAATCAGAATATAAAGCAAGTTTGCTGCTGACAGAACAAAGAATAAATGTAAATCTGATTCATAGAAATTAGAAAAGTAGCTAGAGAAGATGATTAAATAAACTATTAAATAAACACACCTAGATAGTTAAAATAAGCTATACGCTATATAGTTTATTTTATAGATGCTGGGAAAATGACAATTTTTTTGTTGTATTTCCTACCCCCACAAAATGTATCAAAGAATCATATAGCATCAAAATTAAAATTATTATATTCCCGAGCACCTTCTCAACCATCTAAAAAAGAACACACTTACTTGGGAATCCTCTGTACTCAAGGATAGTGCTGAAGTAGTATGTAGGTCATTATCTAGTTAAAAATAACAAAGCAGGTTTGACTTTCTATTTTATATGTAATACAAATTATTTAGATAAGCTTAAATCATAGCTTGTGTACATGGTAGCAAATAAAGGGAATATATACATGGAATCTATTTCATTACTTTCACGGCTAATGTTACTCATAAAAGCAGACAAAACTGTTATGAGACAATATATAAGCCCCAGAGTCAAAATATGAAATACCAATTAATTGGGCCAGTTTTCTATGAAGACACTCTTTAGTAACAGCACACGAAACAAAATGTCTGCTGTTTTAGTATGGAAGACTGTAAGTTTTCATAATAGTAGTTCTTCAACTCTGTGATGCTAAGACTGTTGTACACATATCTAAAGCATAAGAGTATCAGAAAAAAAAATGAAAATAATTAGCTTTATCAGTTTTTTATGTCTTCCACTGCCACCTATTATTTTGGTCAGTATTAATTTTACTAGCTATTATTAACTCTGCTTGCCACTTTGCTATGACTATAAAATATACCATTTGGAGTTTCTGAAGATTCACTGCTTAAATTCTTAGTCATCTGAGCAAAATTATGCTATACAAGTGCTGCCATAAAACAGTACAACGTAAGACTATTTTGTTTATACACAATGCTAGACATCTATCATGAAAATTTCAATCTTTTATTTTCTTCTTGTAAGTTTAATAACAAATAACTATAATGTTTTAAATTTATACTGTTCCTATGATCAGTTTACTGTTGTCATCATTATTAAAAAACACCATCCACATTAAGTTTATCACCTATTGCTTTGTTGTCTTGTTGGAACTGCTGAGTCTGGGAGTGCTGAGATGCAGTTTGTGGAAAATCTTCATACACTGCTTCTTCTAACCAGGGAAAACAAATGACTGCAAGATACCAGTGAGATCTGTTGAAAATTAAAACAGTGTATGAGAATACATTTTAGAGCTACAGCTAAGAAAATGGGTATGACAAACTTCCTATGTACTTTGAAGAGATCATTGTAATATCTGATAGAATGTATGAAATTATAAAACTAATAAAATAAGTAGTAGGAGTACTTAAGAGTAAAATCTGAGTAAGTGAAACTTATTTACTTTCATATAATCAACACTTTTCCTGATGAGGATCTGTTTTAATAAACACAGTATTACCTTTTAAAAATATTTTTAATACAGTCATTACATTATTCTTCATTTTGTGCAATATATGATTTCACCATAAAATTTCTACCACCAATTCCCCCGTGCACCATCACCAGAGTCCCTTGTGCTCTTCCCACTCCTGACTGGATCCTTCTTCCTCCTCCTCCCTTACAGAATAACTCTGATCTATAGTTGCCTGATGATTTTGATTTTTACTTCATCATAGTTGCTTTTTTTTCTGATTCCATATTACCTTTTTTATATATTAATGCTTACAGAGTATGTTTTCTTGAAGATTCATCCTAAAATCTTTTGATCATATATTTAGAAACTCTTCTTGAATCCAAAAATTTAATGCCTCAGTAGAGTCTGATCATTTGTCATCTTTTTCCACTGCTTTTACAATATAACCATATCAAAACAAAATCTAAGACAAGTAACTCATTGTTTTAGCTACTTCTTCAGAAAGGAATAAAAATAATTCCTGGGATCTATGTACCCATGTGTTTTACTGAATTTTAATCTAAAAATGCACAAAATATATTTTCTATACTCTCTCCAATTTTGTTATTAAGTAACATGAAAATACTCACGACTCATTTACAGGCACAAAGATGTAATCTTTATTAAAGATGTTTATATGACGAGTCCATGTTCGTACTCGTTTATGTCTTCTCTGTGCCAGTCTGGGAATATGGAAGGTAGATATATTTGATTAAAAAAAAACAAATTTGAGAATTTCAAGAATCATTGTTATATAACAAAATATGCTAGATATAGTATACTTAACCACCTCTTCAAGATAAATAATATTTAACACCCTAGAAAATTATGTTTTTACCAACTCCTGATTTTAATCTGATCATTACTTATAAATAATAATAATAATAAAGAATAGAAAAAAGGCAGCAATATATAAAAAGTGTAGATTTCAAGAGTGAGAAGCCACTGAATATAAACACAGCTATACCCATTTATTCTAGTTAGCACCATCTGAACATGATATAAAATACTGTCATTTAACAGTATTCTCTTAAAATGATTCTTAAATGAGAATCTTAAAATGATTCTTAAATGAGAATCTCTCATAGTATATGATAAGGGAGATGTCAAAGCAAGAAGAAAACTGGAACCTATTTTGGAAATTTAAAAGTAAAATTTATCTCCCTTCACTTAACACATAAAGAAACTATAAGACAGTACACTAAGTATATCCAACATTCATCCATCTTTCACTTTATTTCTTCAACAAATATATATTAAGTTCCTAAGGACAAATAATGAAAAATCACTTATACTGTCCCAAAGGAATTTATAAAATAATAGGGGTAGGAAAAAGTTACAACAAATAACTGAAACAGAAATTTCATAGGGCTCAAAGGAATAATGTTAAACATCTAGGAATGCCACCTAGAAAAGTATTGGACATACTCACACATTAATTTTTCTTTACCTCATTAGAGATATTAAAGAAAGAAAATGTCAAACCAAAATTAGATGAAAAAAAAAATTACTAGGAAGGAAATAACATTAGTAGTGGCTTATCTGGTTAGCCTTTGAAGGGCTATTTTTATATACATGGAATTAAATAAAGCATAGTATTCTTATAAATTTATATACCAACTAATATAGAAAGCAGGTATCTTCATTCCATATGTGTTCATATGTGTATCTAGCCAAAATTATAGTAGTAGACATTGGGAATAAGATGGGATCCAGAATAAGATTAAAAAGTGTAGTATTAGACCCTCCCTGGTGGCGCTGCGGGATAAAGCACTAAGAAGCTTAAGCCACTTCCGCATGAGTTCAATTCCCGCCTGTCTTGGAGGAGATCCACAAGGCGAGGCAGACCTCTCCTGACCGGCCCGCTGCTCCCCTCAGCAGTGTACTTTGTCTATCTGCCTGTTCTGCTCCCCACTCTGTCTCTGGTGAATCCTCTCACCCTCCGCATCTCTGGCCTGTACCCCAGTTCTATATGAATAAATAAATAAATCTTTAAAAAAAACAAAGTGCAGGATTAAACACTAATATGTTCGATTAACTTTATAAAATAATCAGGAGTCATATGAAAAAAAATTCACTGAATTTTTCTTATTTTACAATGGTATCACCATTATTACAATTATTACCAATTACTTTCAGCTATTACACAGTCTATTATTAATTTGATTTCCATTTGAAAATCTTAAGGACAGTCAATCTGGTTTTATTTTGTTATGTTGGTGTTAGGTCAAGCTAATTCATTTGGAATATATTAGACAAAGAATAGGATAAGGAGAATAGGAGAGAATATGGACCACAGCTTAATCTCATTTTCTGTTCCTTACCATATTTTTAAAAATGCTCTCTTCGCTGTTTGGAGGTTCCTCAAACTGCTAAACATGGAGCTTCCCTACGACCCAGCAACCCCACTCCTAGGTATCTACCCAAAAGACACAAAAACACTGATTGAAAAAGATACCTGTACCCCCATGTTTACTGCTGCTTTATTTACAATTAGAAAAACATGGAAGCAGCCCAAATGCCCAAAAGTAGATGACTGGATTAAAATGATGTGGTACATATATATACAATGGAATATTACTCAGCAACCAAAAAAGAGAAACACATGTCTTTTGCAGCAACTTGGATGGAGCTGGAAAAGATCATGCTTAGTGAGGTAAGCCAGAAAGAGAAAGAAAAATACCGGATGGTTTCACACATAGCAGGAGTATAATGGACCAGGCGAGAAAATAACTATAATGAACAGCCACATACCAGAGACATTTTGTGGGGGTGGAGTGGGGAATGGGATCAAAAACGGGGAGGTGGGGAGTGAAGTACATGGGATTATGGTGATGGCACACGGGTGACTTGGTGATGGGAAACCTGTGGGATTACAATTGAGATGAAAAAAAAATGTACAAATTAATGTAAAAATAAACTGTTATAAATAAAAAAATTTTTTAAAAAAGAATATGGAAATATAAAAATAAACACTATCTTTCATGGGAAAAAAATGCTCTCTTCGATAATAAATATCACTGTCATCTTCTACTGTGAGCTTCTAGTATGTTTCAAGCACTGAGGAAAAGATACTGGGGGCTGAGTTGAAAAATTGACAGATGGAATCCCTGACTTCATGAAACTTGTACCTTAAGATGAAAAAGAGATAATGCAACAAGCAGACAATCAAAGTGACAGAGAATGTGCTGCAAAACAAAGAAAAAATTTGTCTGAAAATAGGAAAGAGCTTAGGATATCCGAATACTGAAAGGAAGTAGGTTGACTTGAATTATGGTGAGTGAAGAGAGAAAATACTGAGATTAGTTTAGGGAGTTGGACAGAGGCCAGATTCATACAGCGATCTAATAACCATATTTATTAGTTTGTGTACTTTTATTTTACAAATGTCCTAACACCAGTAGTTTGAGCCTCCTCTTAGGGATATAGTGACCATTAAAATTGATATCCCTTACCATTGTGCTTCTAGGGTATTCTTTTTGTTGTTGCTTAACTGATTTATAGGGCTTTGTTGTATGAATGTAATTATATACATATTAGAAAATAATCAGTATGAGTATGAATGCATGTATACACTTACACATAAATATATCTTACTCATCTTACCCAGGAATATGCTACTTAAGAAACTTTCTTCTTTACTTTTGTTTTCTATTACTTTTATGTATGATAAAGCATACAATACCTTTTTTTTTTTTCACTTTCTTAAAAGACTTTAAAATACAGCAAAATCGGGGCCCTCCCTGTTGGCATAGCCGGTTAAAGCACAAAGAAGCTAAAGGGGGTGGGGGGTGTGTGGCACATCAGACCTCTCCTGACCCACCCACTGTTCCCCTCAGCCGTGTACTTCGTCGATCTGCCTGTTCTGCTCCCTACTCTGTCTCTAGTGAATTCTCTCACTGCCCCTACACCTCTGGCCTGTACCCCAGTTCTGTATGAACAAATAAATAAATCTTTAAAAAAATACAGCAAAACCTACTTTTCTTTCTTTGGTTTCTAAGTGGGTATGCCAAATTCATAATCTCTATATTGGCTAGTAATCTTAAAACAAAATGTAGGATTAAAAGGCATGGCACCTACCATCAATTTCTATATATACATAAAATAGAACAGGAGAGCATTGAAAAATATTAAATATGGAACTTATTTAATAAATCTTCCCTCTACATTAACCCTGATAATCAGGAATATTTTCAAATTGTGACTTTTTTCCCTTAATCAATAATGACCAGCCGTGTCCATGAGTATAAAACCAAATCTATAAAGAACTCCAAAACACTGAACTAACCATTCCAGTTTATCTAAACAGGACCGGTACATATGTGTTGTCTAGTATAAATATTAATTGCGATTCCTTTTTTTTCCTTGTCCCAATTATGACCATAAGATAGTTATATACTGTAACTATATGAAAAGAGCTAAAACTTTGGAATTGTATTTACATTCATGTTTGGATAATTTACCTATCTTCTTTAAAAGCTTTAACAATGACTATTTTTCTCAAAAGATTATTATAGAATCAGACAAAACAAGTTTACATTCACCGTCTTGGTTCCGAACAGGTATTCAATATTTACTAGTTTTTTCCCTGTCCCTACTTTCTTTTTCCAACAATATTGGACAGTTCTACCCATTTAATCATCTTCTTACTTCTTATTACTTTTAAAGAGATGAAGCAAATTCTCACAGAGACACTTTATTTTTTTTTTCTTTAAAGATTTATTTATTTATTCGTACAGAACTGGGGTACAGGCCAGAGATGCGGAGGGTGAGAGGATTCACCAGAGACAGAATGGGGAGCAGAACAGGCAGATAAACAAAGCACACTGCTGAGGGGAGCAGCGGGCAGGTCAGGAGAGGTCTGCCACGCCATGTGGTTGCCTCCAGGACAGGCGGGAATCGAACTCATGCGGAAGTGGCTTTAGCTTCTCAGTGCAGCGCTTTAACCCGCTGCGCCACCAGGGAGGGCCTCACAGATACACTTTAAAAGCATTGCAATACAATGAAAACATTTCTGGACATGAGGCTAAAAGATAAAAAATTTACCGTACCAGCCAGTTCTGCCATTCACTAGCTGTCTGTCTTTTGTTACTCAATGTTCACTGACCTACTTCCTCATGTGAAAAGATAGGAAATAATATATATATATATGTACCCTACATATCTAAAAGCACTATTTTGAGAGAAAATAATACACATAAATGTACCTTGTAAATTGTAAAGTGGTACACAAATGTTTACACTAACTTTTTTTTTTTTTAAAGATTTATTTATTTACTCATACAGAACTGGGATACAGGCCAGAGATGCGGAGGGTGAGAGGATTCACCAGGGACAGAATGGGGAGCAGAACATGCAGATCAACGAAGTACACTTCTGAGGGGAGCAGCGGGCGGGTCAGGAGAAGTCTGCTACGCCATGTGGATCTCCTTGGGGCAGGCAGGGGTCAAACTCATGTGGAAGTGGCTTAAGCTTCTTAGTGCAGTGCTTTAACCCGCTGTGCCACCAGGGAGGGCCTACACTAACTTTTTTAATAAATAAAAACTCTTAATTTTATCATGGGCCTACCATATATATTATCAAATCCACGTTAAGGTATAGAGGGGGTGAATACTATAATTATCAAAGTTAGTGCTATCTAGAAAGTGAAAATAACTTCTTTGTCCTTTTTGCCTATTCCTCCCTTTTGCCTATTCTTTCCCACTACTCTATAGGTTTTAGCATTAGTCAAAAAAATGTTCAGAATAACTTCAAACAAGTATGATGTTTTTGTATAATTTACACCAGCTTAATTAAATATTAGCATGCTGGTGAGGATCTTACTGTTCTACATATGTAAGGCAGAGAAAATATAATGCAGAGAATTGGCTACAATGGTGACAGAAAAAGTGCAAAGCCAAAAAAAGGACAGTGAGGTAGCCAGAGATTAGCATAGAAGGAAACTGCTATCCTCCTATGTTGAAGGGCACATGGAACCTGGACTTTTAGCAGTCTATCCGCTGAGAGATGGTCCCACAGAGGAAATACAGCCACTGACAGAATGACTGACCAAGGCAGAGAGTAAGAAATAATCTGACTTCTTGCTTCCTTGCCTTTAATGAGTGTCCTCACAGGACACACAATTAAGAATGCAACCTGCAAGGGGAAAAAATGTCTCTCAGAGCAAACAGACTCAGAATCAAACAAGTGCTCACTCAGAAATAGTGTAAGAAGTTATATGTTCACTAAATAGTCATTCTTGTTCACCAACAGCATCAAAAGAATATACACATCTCTTAAAAATTAAGTATACTGCAAGACTGACTTACGAAAGATTTGGATTATCTTCTGTTAAATTATTTTCCTTTCTTGTCAAGCACTTATAGAAAAAGCTACTAAAAATGTGACTGCGTTCAACAAGTTCATCTGAGGCCTTTTCCAATATAAGATACCTGTAAAGTAACAATACCACAAAAATTATTTTAAGATTTTACTTCATCTTTCCCAAATAACTTATATGTTCTGGAAATCAATTTTATATCCAATTCGACTAGAAGGTAATCTTGCAATTTGCTCTTACTTCAGTTTATTCTTTAATTACCTCACTTTAAAGGTCATTTAAAGAAGATTACACATATATTCATTCATTTACCCAACATATTTATCAAAGTTCTAACGTGTCAAGCACCATACTACTGACACAGAATCAGATAGAGAAAAAAAAATACCTCTCACTATAGAAAGAGTATTGATGGTTGGGGAAAGAACCACCTATAAATTAGAGGGAATGGTACCTAACAAGCACACAGGCCATGGAAATGGCACCTGTTTTACCTGGAAAACCTCATAATTCATGAAGCACATGGTAGAGTGATCACAAGGATCTTTACTCAGTAGTTGGGATTTGTTTGCTCTCATCTAGCAAGTCTTTAAGAAAGTTAAGAGCCTCAAAGGTATCAGACTCTCCAAATTCTATTCCAGAACAAAATTCAAGTATATAGAAATGAAAAAAAAAAAAATACCCAGCACCAAATGAAAATTGCCAGGCATACAAAATGGTGAAAATATGTATCATAATGAAGACAAACCCATTGAAATCAACCCAGAATTAACACAGGTGTTGTAATTGGCAGCTTTCCTTTTTATTCCTTCCTCTCAGCTAACAAAAAGTTGAAATTTTTTTAAAAAAGAAGTTAGATGGCTTTTTAAAATGACAGTTATCTTTTATAATGCTTAATGATATGACAAACATACAGAGTTCTTTTCAGCTCCCAAAGTGATTTGTTATTAGGTCAGTATTCCTAGACTACAATAACAGTCAAAGAAGTACTATAACTCAAAAAGAAACAAATACAACATGACTGGGGAAAGAGAGTTTAGGGAGATAATTAAGGTTAAATAAGGTCATATCATAAATATGGGGGCCTAATTAGAGATACCAGAAATAGGAAGAGGACAGATAAAAGGAAGCCATCTAAAAGAAAAGGAGGGAGGTTCCTTGATCTTGAATGCCCAGTCTTCAGAACTATGATAAATAAATTTCTATTGTTTAAGTCCAAAAATAAAACAAACAAAAATAAAATAGCAGCTCTTCTGAAATACATAGTATCTACAGTAAATAAAGGAATAAAGTCAAATTGGTGAATTCTAGAAACCTTCACAGGCTAAAGCTTTTTAAATTTGACATCTTGGCAACTTATTTTTAGCTACAGTTAAAACACTTTAAAGGTAAAGGCGCACTTTAAGGTTCACATCAAACCTGTAAAACATATGAAATGATTATCTTTGTACTTACTTAAGATAAAAATCAATGATTACATCATTAAGAAACTCTCCTTCTTCTAAGCACTCCAGATCTTCATTAGTAACTCCTAATCCCCCTTTAGTAGGTGGTGGAGGATACACAATCAACCTTAAAAAGTAAAAATGGAATTCAAATATGTTGGTATTAAAATCCTAGTATCAAAATGTTTTGTTATACAGAATAGCAGAGTAGCAGATTTAAACAACTAAAATTTGTAGGTAATAAACTGGACAGATTATAAGAAATTATACCTTCCTTCCTGTATTTCACCAAATACTAACAGTACTCTCAGTGGAGAGTATATTTTCACTTCCAAATCCTTCCCATGGGAGCTAGTCTTGCTAATCAAGAGTTTATACCTCACAATCATTTATAATACTATTGTGAACAATTTTTAATTTTCAACAAACTGATAAAATGAACTACTGAAGATTTTCCTCCACTTCATTTTCCAACTTTAAATTTGAATTATGTAACTACCTCCTTTCCATTAAAAAAAAAGGCAGCAGTCAACAAGTACGTTCTCTTATGAGTGGGTAGCCTGCTAGGCAATACCAGCAGCTGGGCAGTAAAGAAAAATATAGGAATTTAGGAGTCAAGGTTCCCCTAAGAAAGCATTTACAACATAAAATGTAAGAGAACATAAAAAAAATCAAATGGCTTGAAAACAATCAGAAAATAGAAAACAGATGACAATTAGACACTTTTCTTCTGGTATCCTCTGTTAAAGCTCAGAAATAAAACCAGTGTGAATTTTTGGATATAATCTTAGAATACATAGGCTAGTATTACTGTACAAATTTAGTCAACAAAAAAGGCGTAACATGTACTTCTTAAACCAGAAAGATTTAAGAAAAAAGTAATCATGTATAATCGAATTAATATGAGTAGCATGGCACATGAATCAAATAAGAATATGTGAAAATCTTAAATGCTAAAGCGACAGCTTCTGTCTTATGATTACTGTCCTATTCTGCAAGTTTATTTGCTTTTCTTTTTAAACAGAGAAAAGGAATCACATAAAGAATAGCTCTGGGCCCTCCCTGGTGGTGCAGTGGGTTAAAGCACAGCACAAAGAAGCTAAAGCCACTTCCCCATGAATTCGATCCCCACCTGCCCTGGAGGAGATCCACATGGCATGGCAGACCTCTCCTGACCCGCCCGCTGCTCCCCTCAGCAGTGTACTTCGTCGATCTGCCTGTTCTGCTCCCTGCTCTGTCTCTGGTGAATCCTC